AATTAAAGCACCGGAATACTGACTTTCTTTGTGCACCGGTATCGACAGGTTAGGTGGCTTGGTTGGGTTTATAAGTTTCTGGTTAGGGAGCCGGTCGGCCGAGCGGACCGCACGCTGGACTTGTGATCCTGTGGTCCTGGGTTCGATCCCAGGCACCGGCGAGAAACAATGGGCAAAGTTTCTTTCACCCTATGCTCCTGTTACCTAGCAGTAAAATAGGTACCTGGGTGTTAGTCAGCTGTCACGGGCTGCTTCCTGGGGGTGGAGGCCTGGTCGAGGACCGGGCCGCGGGGACACTAAAGCCCCGAAATCATCTCAAGATAACCTCAAGATAGGCCAAATAGACATATAATCTTCGCAAAAATACAGATTTTTATCGATGAAATATATTGCCATCTGGATAAGGGGGGGGGGAAATACTTGTAATATACTGACGAAATATACTACCATCTGTGTGTATACAATATACTTTTGATCAAGTGGAAGGCGATGGTGGTGATTGTGGTAGTGATGATGGTGGTTACAGTGAGGATTTATGGTGTTGATATTGAGGGATGAACCCCCTCCAACACCCCACCATTGTTGCTACGGGAATAACCATCGACCCTGCAAGATTGCATAGTTGTTGCCTTCGTAAAACCTTTTCCCCAGCACCATATTTGCAAGTCTCACGTCCCGACACAGAGCGGTTATGTTTGGGTAACGCCATCCTATCTGTATATATCTGCGTGTGTAAGTTGATCAGGTGTGTGTGTGTGTGTGTGTGTGTGTGTGTGTGTGTGTGTGTGTGTGTGTGTGTGTGTGTGTGTGTGTGTGTGTGTGTGTGTGTGTGTGTGTGTGTGTGTGTGTGTGTGTGTGTGTGTGTGTGTGTGTGTGTGTGTGTGTGTGTGTGTGTGTGTGTGTGTGTGACTGTGTGTGTGTGTGTGTGTGTGTGTGTGTGTGTGTGTGTGTGTGTGTGTGTGTGTGTGTGTGTGTGTGTGTGTGTGTGTGTGAGAGAGCTTTACTGAATATAATCGATCGAAAAAATTGGATTAATGATTCTAACACGAGACTTCTGTTTGCCTCTCACTCTCTCTCTCTCTCTCTCTCTCTCTCTCTCTCTCTCTCTCTCTCTCTCTCTCTCTCCCTCTCTCCCTCACAACATCAGCGCCACACAAGGCATCGTTACATACGGCTTTGTTTACGAGTCGATCATAAACACAACTTTACTACATCCAAAGTTTCCTGATCCACTTTTAACACCCCAATTATCCTCACGTACTGCTGTTTCACCTGCCCATTTACAAGTGACCCTTTGATGATGAATTCTTTTTCTAGAGTTTCATCCGCTGAGGGAATATTGACATAATACACGGGGGGGGGGGAGGGTAGTCGATATGGCTATTATACCCTCGCGTGTATACCCAATGGCCTAGTTTACCTCGATATCGCAATACGTTTTGGGTTGTTTATCACTTGCGCTAAGTGGTTGGTATCGACCACTGCATGTTTGCTAAGTGGGAGGAGGTGTGTGTTAGCCGGTACAATGATACACATTGTACGTGACGCGTCGCGCCTGAAATAGGTCAAGTGGTTGGGCAATTTTCCCTCATCATGTCATCATATCCCCACTCTTATTATATCCCGTTTTCATTTGCTGCTAAAACATTAAATATCTGCTTGAACACTAAATATCTGCTTAAATATTAAATATCTGCTTAAATATTAAATATCTGCTTAAATATTAAATATCTGCTTAAACATTTAATATTCGCTTAAATAATAAATATCCGCTTAAACATTAAACATCCACTTAAACATTAAACATCCGCTTAAACATTAAACATCCGCTTAAACATTAAACATCCACTTAAACATTAAACATCCGCTTAAACATTAAACATCCGCTTAAACATTAAAAATACAATAAACAGAGCATATTTTCACAGCATGAAGAGCATATCTAGCATCAACATCATATTTTCGCAGCATGAATGGGGGTCCGAGTGAGCAGACTGACCCGCGCGATCAACGCACGCTGTCATATAGATTTTAACAACTCCGTGTCTGTGCCTATTCCTGTCGTCTCTGCCTGTCCGTCTGTCTCCGAGTCCAACACACAGTTATTTACGTCTGAACTGTTGCCCCTTGACCAAAACAGACAGGCATTTGTTTGGCAACACGTTGTCATTTTTGGTGAGGGGGAAAATGTTAGCGTTCTCGAGTCGAATATTTTACCTTTTCAAATGGATATAATCTCGCATTGTCGTTGGATATTTATGTGGAGGAAAACATGTGTTGTTTTGTATATATACACGGTGTTCTGAGGGACTTTTGACTCACTCTAATGGGGTGTCATTCACAGGTTTTGCTATATTAACGCGAAATATATTCCTAGGTAAATATCTGGAATTTGACGCATATATTTTTCAGCTTAAAAGACAAAAAATTGGTTTACTGCCATTTCCAGGTAAAGCTTGACTGCCTCTAACAGGATAATAGAGGCACGAAACCTGCAAAAAGCCAAGATGGTTCGAAGTGAGTTTCGAACTCAGTGTGGATGATTCGTAGCGACTAATATGAGCAAACTAGGTGATTCATAACGAATAGCTATGAGCAGTAATTAATTTTCAGCATTTACCAGAGTAGAAACTGTTATCGCTAGCAAGCAATTTTCACAGTTAACTAGTTTATTAAATTTTTTATCTTCTCAAATTTTATTCCCCTTTCCCTAGTAACAATTCCCTCACTTAATCAACTATCTCTAGCCAAACTACCACCTATCATAACTAACCAGTCTACCAGATCTAACCATTAACCAATCTATCTCCTCTTACAAGTAATTAAACTACCACCTCTAACCACTAACAACTTTAAGTTGGCTTGTGAATTTTTAATTTGGATGCTCAGCGTGTGGCAAGACTGGTGGACAGAGCCAGGGCTGCCATACTCAATTTGAGTTGAGTATTTTAGCAATTAACTATTCAAACATCTGCTCTAACTTGGCCTCTAAGTACTCTTGTATTTAATAATACATCTTCAGAAGGATGGGATCATGTTCATATCCCGTCCTTCTGAAGATGTATTATTAAATACACAAGTTCTTAAGGAAATTCCTGTCTTAATCCTTCCTTCGTGGTATATATATATATATATATATATATATATATATATATATATATATATATATATATATATATATATATAGAGAGAGAGAGAGAGAGAGAGAGAGAGAGAGAGAGAGAGAGAGAGAGAGAGAGAGAGAGAGAGAGAGAGAGAGAGAGAGAGAGAGATTATTAAAACAGTGGCTCTTATCATTATACCGTCTCTCTTTCTCCCCTTGTCTGTCTCTCTGTCTGTCTGTCTGTCACTCATTCTATATTTAATACTAAAAAGATATAATTTCAGTATATATAAAAAGACATTCCAACATGCCAGCAAACAGCTGGTATTCCCTCCTCAGCCCAGCCCTTGTGTCTTCTATTATTAAAATCTAAATAGAATTCTCACGTATGTTTGTTATGACAACCTGTCTCAGGGTTTATCAAACATTTACGCGTCCACTTACGAAACCTGTACATCTTTCCTCAATCACGGCGGCTTTGTTTAACGTTTACTAAACAGTTTACCAGCTTGGAGACTTCACAACCCGAGGTTATTATTGTTATAAACAACCTCGTAGTGCTCCGGAGCTCATTAACTAGTGATGGAGTGATGGAAGTGGTGACCTAGTAGAAGGCGCAGAGGCTAAGGTCGCTCAGTCAATTCGTCGTCCTAAAATTATCGTCCTTACAGCAGCTAATTGGTCAAACGTACTTAAATGGCACTGTTAAACCCCCAAAGAAATACCCGTTTTGCAATTCCGAATTACCTCAAAGGGCAAAATTGAAAACTAACGAGCCAATCCTGTCCCAGTACTCTTAGGCCTAATATATTCTATCATAGGCCTAATATAGTAAATATATGTGCTCCACGAGGCCTAGAAATGTTTTTTTGTTTTTCTACCATGCCTGCTATGTAGTTAATTAAACAAAATGTGAACATTGTAAGACATTGTAAGTCTATTTTTGTAGTATTATGGTCACAGAGAACCGGGAACCAAGAGTTGGAGCTTGTACAGTACTTCAGCTCTCTCCACACAGACCCAGACACCCTTGGATCCTGCAGAAAATATCCTCTAAACATCCTGAATAAATTGGCTGATAAAACTACATAGTGAAAGCCAAATTTCTGCCCCAACGCCTCAACGTTGCTATTAAGAGAGGAAGCGCCCCTCCCAACTGACCACACAGTCACTACCAACCACAGCAACACACACACACACGAGGCTGTCAATCCCTGTCAATCCCTGTCAATCCCTGTCAACCACCCGTCACCATAACACCCCCTCAAGCACCGCCCCCTTCAACCGGATCCGGTAACGGTGGGTAGACAGTTAAACTGTGTGTAACACCACTGTCCGCTGGTAGCGCCAGCACGGGGGAGAGTGTTGGGCTTCCTCACCGCATTACCACTCTCAGAGGAAGTCAAACAAGAGGAAAACAAGCAAGGGGAAGGCAAGAAGGGGGAAGTCAAGGCAGAGACAGTAGAGTAACAAGCACAAGGATAAAATCTACTTCAGAAACGTGGAGTTTTAAAGAATGGTAATAAAGATGTTTTACGAAGAAAGGACCACACAAGGAAGAGAATAAAGAACAATAATGAGAAAACAAAGACATACCAAAAAGAAATAGACAAAAATAAAGAGGAAATGCACAAAATTAAACGAGGAAACAGACAAATAAGACACACACACACACACACACACACACACACACACACACACACACACACACACACACACAGACACAGACACAGACACAGACACACAGACACACACACACACACACACACACACACACACACACACACACACACACACACACACACACACACACACACACACACACACACACACACACAGAGGGGAGGTGGCTGGCTGGCTCCCCTTACCAGGTTAGCTCAGTCAGGCGGCTGCCACCGTAGCGTGCAGACGTGTCCGCTCTCTCTCTCCCACACATCCCTATCATTCGCTCGCGTTCCCTCTACAAGCACATCTCTCTCCTCTAGAACTGTGTCTAGCAAATATGTGCCCTCTAATACATAGTGCTCTACACGATGTGTAGCTGCATATACTCGCGTGTGTTTACAACATTGTAAGTGATATTTACATAATTCATTTATAATCATCTGATACCATTAGTGAATGTTATTAACGTTAAAATCGAAGTTAGTGTATATTAAACGTACAGGAAATGTGAAGAAATACGATTAATTAGTCTGATGTTATGATGTGAATCTGAGGATGTTACCTGCGGGTGATAACTCAGAGATGAAATACATATGTGACTCTCGCTGGATGCTGAGTGGGAGATGTGATGCTCCTTAACTTCATCCCTAAGCTTCGTGTCCTCATATCCCAGCTACATGTTTTCATATCCCAGGTCCTTGTTCTCATATCCCAGCTTCTTGTTCTCATATCCCAGCTTCTTGTCCTCGTATCTCAGCTATTTGTCCTCATATCCCAGCTCCTTGTCCTCATACCCCAGCTCCTTGTCCACATATCCCAGCTCCTTGTCCTCATATCCCAGCTCCTTGTCCACATATCCCAGCTCCTTGTCCTCATATCCCAGCTCCTTGTCCACATATCCCAGCTCCTTGTCCTCATATCCCAGCTCCTTGTCCACATATCCCAGCTCCTTGTCCTCATATCCCAGCTCCTTGTCCACATATCCCAGCTCCTTGTCCACATATCCCAGCTCCTTGTCCTCATATCCCAGCTCCTTGTCCTCATATCCCAGCTTCTTGTCCTCATATCCCAGCTCCTTGTCCTCTTATCCCAGCTCTTTGTCCGCATATCCCAGCTCCTTGTCCTCATATCCCAGCTTCTTGTCCTCATATCCCAGCTCCTTGTCCTCTTATCCCAGCTCCTTGTCCACATATCCCAGCTCCTTGTCCACATATCCCAGCTCCTTGTCCTCATATCCCAGCCAATTACCAGAGAATTAACTGCCTGAAATTAAGGTATCTCCCCCCCCCCCTGCTTCAGTTAGGCCTATGACCCTTACACTCATCTAATACGTCCCATTCTTTATGGAATCGACCAATACGTTAGAAATACGACGTATTAATTCCAATTAAAGCCCCATAATATAACGTTTTCTATACCTCGTCCTCGGTGGGTTAGGTGGGTAGGTTGGGCTTGTACTTGGGTGGGTAAAACGGTTGTGTTTTGTACGGAGTACTTGGCAGGCTCTCAATAGACTCTAACTAGCTGGTTGGCCGCGTTTACTAATGATCGTTCAGATGCGTTTTTCATTTGGATGTGATTGTGTTGATTTGTCACTATACTTAGTCTCTCTGTATCTCTTCCTCTGTCTCTGTCTGTCTGTCTGTCTGTCTGTCTGTCTGTCTGTCTGTCTGTCTGTCTGTCTGTCTGTCTCTCTCTCTCTCTCTCTCTCTCTCTCTCTCTCTCTCTCTCTCTCTCTCTCTCTCTCTCTCTCTACACCGTTTTTTCTCACCGTTTACTCACCTAGTTGTGTTTGCGGGGGTTGAGCTCTGGCTCTTTGGTCCCGCCTCTCAACCGTCAATCAACAGGTTTACAGATTCCTGAGCCTATTGGGCTCTATCATATCTACACTTGAAACTGTGTATGGAGTCAGCCTCCACCACATCACTTCCTAATGCATTGCATTTGTCAACCACTCTGACACTAAAAAAGTTCATTCTAATATCTCTGTGGCTCATTTGTGTGTGTGCGTGTGCGTGCGTATGAGTATGCGTGTGCGTTGGTGTGAGTTTGTGCTTGCGGGGGTTGAGCTCTGGCTCTTTGGGCCCGCCTCTCAACTGTCAATCAACTTTTTTTTTCCACACACACACACACACGCACACAGGAAGCCGCCCGTAGCAACTGTCTAACTCCCAGGTACCTATTTACTACTGGGTGAACAGGTACATCAGGGAAAAAGAAACTCTACCCATTTGTTTCCGCCTCCGCGGGGGATAGAACCCAGGCCCTTAGGACTACGAATCCCGAACGCTGTCCACTCACCCGTCAGGCCCCCCTGTGCGTGTGTGCGTGTGATTGCGTGCGTTTGTGCGTGCGATAGAGAACACGTGTTATCGAGCGTGTGAGCGATGATTTATGCCTCCCTGGTTGATATTAAATGCAATACCCAACAATTCTCACAAGAAATTACTCACCAGTAAACATATTCTATCGTTCAATGTTTCTTATTACACTAAACATTTAAATAACATAACGTAGGAGCCCGTAAGGCAACATAGCAACAACATACGCTATGTTGTATCAACATAACAGCAGCATATTCCATTTGTTGCAATGAAATTAGTGTGATGCGATATCTTATAAGAACATAAAAGTGCACTATTACAACATATGAACTGTTATAACCACATAACAGCGACATACGAGCTGCTGTGACCACATGACAGCAACATATGAGGTAATTTACGAACATAACACGAGACAAATGTGTAAACATTACAATTTCGATATCGTTTTGTAATATATTTCCTCCGGTCTCCACTTTAGTTTGGTATACCCTATAATTTGTTTGCACCAGGTATCTATAACTTCGATATACACCAAGAGGTGTATGTATCCAGCCTCTCAGTGTATAAATACACCGAGGAAATTGTATACTAATTCATGGTGTATACTCAGAGTATACTTTCCTCCTCGACTGTATATTCAGGACTAATGTATTCTTGCTGGTTGGTCAGGAAACTGTTGTTAGGCTTTAATAACCCTTCAGAGATTGTTAGGTCTTAATAATAATCCTCCAGAGAGGTTGTGGCGGCCTTAATAACCCTCCAGAGGTTGTTTGGGCTTAATAACCCTCCAGAGGTTGTTAGGGCTTAATAACCCTCCAGAGGTTGTTAGACCTTAATAACCCTCCAGACGTTGTTGGGGCTTAATAACCTTCCAGAGGTTGTTAGACCTTAAGGCCAACACCAAACCTGCTCTAACCCTATCGCATCCTGAAGGATATATCTGATAGGATGCTGCCTATATAATCTCTCTCTCCTTCTATCTGAAGTCCCTCTCTTCATCCTGAAGTTCCTTCCTTCATCCTGAAGTTCCTTCATTCATCCTGAAGTTCCTTCCTTCATCCTGAAGTTCATTCATTCATCCTGAAGTTCCTTCCTTCATCCTGAAGTTCCTTCCTTCATCTTGAAGTTCCTTCCTTCATCCTGAAGTTCCTTCCTTCATCCTGAAGTTCCTTCATTCATCCTGAAGTTCCTTCCTTCATTCTGAAGTTCCTTCATTCATCCTGAAGTTCCTTCCTTCATCCTGAAGTTCCTTCATTCATCCTGAAGTTCCTTCCTTCATCCTGAAGTTCCTTCCTTCATCCTGAAGTTCCTTCCTTCATCCTGAAGTTCCTTCCTTCATCCTGAAGTTCCTTCCTTCATTCTGAAGTTCCTTCCTTCATCCTGAAGTTCCTTCCTTCATCCTGAAGTTCATTCCTTCATCCTGAAGTTCCTTCCTTCATCCTGAAGTTCCTTCCTTCATCCTGAAGTTCCTTCCTTCATCCTGAAGTTCATTCCTTCATCCTGAAGTTCATTCCTTCATCCTGAAGTTCCTTCCTTCATCCTGAAGTTCCTTCCTTCATCTTGAAGTTCCTTCATTCATCCTGAAGTTCCTTCATTCATCCTGAAGTTCCTTCCTTCATCCTGAAGTTCCTTCCTTCATCCTGAAGTTCCTTCATTCATCCTGAAGTTCCTTCATTCATTCTGAAGTTCCTTCCTTCATCCTGAAGTTCCTTCCTTCATCCTGAAGTTCATTCCTTCATCCTGAAGTTCCTTCCTTCATCCTGAAGTTCCTTCCTTCATCCTGAAGTTCATTCCTTCATCCTGAAGTTCATTCCTTCATCCTGAAGTTCCTTCCTTCATCCTGAAGTTCATTCCTTCATCCTGAAGTTCATTCCTTCATCCTGAAGTTCATTCCTTCATCCTGAAGTTCCTTCATTCATCCTGAAGTTCCTTCATTCATTCTGAAGTTCCTTCCTTCATCCTGAAGTTCCTTCCTTCATCCTGAAGTTCATTCCTTCATCCTGAAGTTCCTTCCTTCATCCTGAAGTTCCTTCCTTCATCCTGAAGTTCATTCCTTCATCCTGAAGTTCATTCCTTCATCCTGAAGTTCCTTCCTTCATCCTGAAGTTCATTCCTTCATCCTGAAGTTCATTCCTTCATCCTGAAGTTCATTCCTTCATCCTGATGGTCCTTCCTTCATCCTGAAGTTCCTTCCTTCATCCTGAAGTTCATTCCTTCATCCTGAAGTTCCTTCCTTCATCCTGAAGTTCATTCCTTCATCCTGAAGTTCCTTCATTCATCCTGAAGTTCCTTCATTCATTCTGAAGTTCCTTCCTTCATCCTGAAGTTCCTTCCTTCATCCTGAAGTTCATTCCTTCATCCTGAAGTTCCTTCCTTCATCCTGAAGTTCCTTCCTTCATCCTGAAGTTCATTCCTTCATCCTGAAGTTCATTCCTTCATCCTGAGTTCCTTCCTTCATCCTGAAGTTCATTCCTTCATCCTGAAGTTCATTCCTTCATCCTGAAGTTCATTCCTTCATCCTGATGGTCCTTCCTTCATCCTGAAGTTCCTTCCTTCATCCTGAAGTTCATTCCTTCATCCTGAAGTTCCTTCCTTCATCCTGAAGTTCATTCCTTCATCCTGAAGTTCCTTCATTCATCCTGAAGTTCCTTCCTTCATTCATCCTGAAGTTCCTTCCTTCATCCTGAAGTTCCTTCCTTCATCCTGAAGTTCCTTCCTTCATCCTGAAGTTCATTCCTTCATCCTGATGGTCCATTGCCAGAGTTCTGGAGACCTCATTATTATCTTCATATTTCTTCACCTTTTTTTATATCCTTTTCTCCACATTTTTTTCCTTTCTTATTCTTATTCTACTTCTTCTTCGTTATATAATTTATTGTTATTTTTATTATTATTGTTATTGCTGTTGTTCATTTGGCTATCGTTTGTAAATCATAAAACTGTGTTGGCAGGCAATTGGTTTGATCATTTCTTCTCACTTCTGAGGAGCGGAAGCTGCTTCCAGGATCTGTTGATCTCGTGAGGGCTTATACGATGCTAAACTTTCCAAACTGATGCTGAGATGATGTGAAAATCCTGAGAGAGATAGAGAGATAGAGAGAGAGAGAGAGAGAGAGAGAGAGAGAGAGAGAGAGAGAGAGAGAGAGAGGAGAGAGAGAGAGAGAGAGACAGAGGGGAGAGAGAGAGAGAGAGAGAGAGAGAGAGAGAGAGAGAGAGAGAGAGAGAGAGAGAGAGAGAGAGAGAGAGAGAGAGAGAGAGAGAGAGAGAGAGAGCAGGGTAACTCACCCCTGTCAACCAAGAAATATGATAGTAAAATATGGGGTTCAAAACCGTAGAGTTTTACACACTAACACACCACCTCCCCCTCACACAACTATAACTCACAAGGGTACATGTAGTAAACACTAAATGTGAGGCTGAACAAAGATGAGGCTGAACTACACCTAATCATCCCATCACCGTTGTTAAACCTTAATTGTCCCAAACATTCAGATCTGATAGAACGTAAATCAAACTCATGACTCGGAATTAGCACCGACTATTGTGATTGGTTTTTGGTCTAACACGTATGTACATATGGTTTATTTAGGCATACTGGATTAGTATTTTATCCTAATAATTACCTTATCTTCCCTATATGGGCAGCACAAAACTATTATCAGGCAATTATTGCAAAGATCAGGATGGGTTACCGTTACCTGTGGCAGGTGGCTACTGTTACCTGTAGCAGGTAACACTCTCTCTCTCTCTCTCTCTCTGTCTCTCTGTCTCTCTGTCTCTCTCTGTCTCTCTGTCTCTCTGTCTCTCTGTCTCTCTGTCTCTCTGTCTCTCTCTCTGTCTCTCTCTCTCTCTCTCTTCCTACCTAGGGTACAGCCGTAATAAGCACAACATTCCACCATTTAGAATAAGTCACAAAACGTGATCTAATATTATATATAAAACTTCAATATTTTCTTTAATAAAAAAATACCCACAAAAATATTAGGATCGTGCAAAATATTAACCAAATTTAGCTCAATATATTAATGAGATATACTGCCGATAATTGGTATGTTGATTAATAATTGGATTATTCTAGTTCGTTTTGACAATGGAACTCAGTTAATAAATGGAGATACTTCACATATTTGATCCACTCGGATATGTTGGTATCGCGACGACCTCGATTTCTGCAGGTCGGCGTTCGATTCCCGATGGTTCATGTGGCAGGGCACCGTTTCTTTACTCTGTCACTATCCCATTGCCTATTCTGTCTCTATCCTGTATAGTCATACTATCTCAACGCTTTCTCTGTATAATTCCCTTGTGTATGTAAGTACTCTCTGGTATACACTACAGCTCAAGATTAAAGTATACTCTCAGTTTATATACACCAAGACGTGTATATACTTCCCATATACACATATAGAAGTGTATATATCCCATGTTTACATTACAAATATTTCTACAATAAAATGTTCAAATATCTTTGAACATTATCAGAAATAACAGAACAGAGTATACGAGGTATATACATAAGGGGCTACAGAATAACATAAATTATCGTCTGCATTACAACAGTGAGATTTTATCAGGATAACCAGTTATCTGCCTCGCGATGATAACCTCTTCTGCTGCTTCCGTTCAATGAATTTTTGAACAGGTGGACTCAATTATGGGTCGATCTCATTCTTGTGCAAAGATACGCATGGAATGCATAATGTAACAGCTAATGCATTATCAGTGAAGTAGGTGGGGTTAGGGGGGTATGTTTGGTTCTATGTGGATGATAAGTATGTGCTGATAAGGTAGGTATGCTGGTATGTGATGGTGAGGTTTGTGGTTGTATGTGCTGATATGTACTGACGATATGTGGGCTAACATATGTACTGATGAGGATCAAAACTCACTGATCGAGGCTGGGGTTTGTTGGGAAAAGTGGTGGCTAGCTGGTTTGGAACGGGAGTGGTGATTGGCTGGCCGAGGGAGGCAGGTGATTGGCTGGTAGAGAGGGGAATGTGATTGGCTGGCTGACAGGTCATTTTGGTAATATTATGTGTAATTAACCATCAACTTTAAATTCAGAATAATGCTCATTTACCTGCCATAAAATTTACAACATAGAAATAAAATATACCTTGCCATTTCTCTATATTATTTCACAGGAAAAGTTTGCTCTCATGTATATTACATATAGAAACCTTACTAACACTTAATCATATGTACATTACCTCTCTGGGCACATATGTAAGGTGAAACAATACATATTTTCCAATATATATATATTCATTCCTACCTTTTCAGATTCTTAAAAAGTTAAATTTATTTTCAAAAAGTGTGATGAAAAAATATATTGTTTGCTTTATATCAAAACGATGATGAGTTTGGTAGCAACATAATGCCAAAAACGTGGCCACACTGTCAAGTGAACGTGGCCACACTGTCAAGTGAACGTGGCCACACTGTCAAGTGAACGTGGCCACACTGTCAAGTGAACGTGGCCTGTCAAATGAACGTGTACGTCAAGTTTAGTGTTGTGAAGATTGACTGAATCAGACCGCTGCCCATTGTTAGACTGTCATTCAGGAGGGCCATCAGAACTCTCCCCATTACCAGAGTCCCACAAAAGAACCCATCAGACCTCTGTTTTTTTTTGCCAACAGTCAGACAAACACTTAAAACTTAACGTAATGGTGGTAATTGACCCCACATATGACCCCACACATGATCCAAGATCAATACGCACACACCTGAGATGATCTGAGTAATATTCAGACCATTACAGTCCCTCAGAGCGACCATGGATACCGGATATAACCAATATTCTCCTAGAAGAAAGAGGAAACCATCGCCTCATTCCGGTTCCCCAAGTTCCTGTCCCCCTTCAACGTCCCCTTCGTGGTGGCCCCTGGAGGCCCCGCCACACGCCTGGCTCTACCTGACGGCGTGGCTGGCGGGGGTGTTGGTGTACATCAACGGCCTCACCGGTGACTTCGTCCACGACGACATCAGCAGCATCAAGACCAACCCGGACGTGTTGGGCACCGCCCCGATCTCCAGCCTCTTCTTCAATGACTACTGGGGCAGGTCTATGGCCGACCCTCTCTCTCATAAGTCTTACCGCCCCGTCACCATACTCACCTTCAGGTAAGCATACTCACCTTCAGGTAAGCATACTCACCTTCAGGTAAGCATACTCACTTTCAGGTAAGCATACTCACTTTCAGGTAAGCATACAGGGAGATATACTCATCATATCAACATTGATTTCCATTACAAGTTTGAACCGAAATTGGAAAAGTCAAAACCAAACAGAAAACGAAAGTGAGTATTGTGAACAATTAAAATTGAACAATTGCTATTGACACTCTGACAGAGAGACAGAGAGAGAGAGAGAGAGAGAGAGAGAGAGAGAGAGAGAGAGAGAGAGAGAGAGAGAGAGAGAGAGAGAGAGAGAGAGAGAGAGAGAGAGAGAGAGAGAGAGAGAGAGAGAGAGAGAGAGAGAGAGAGAGAGAGAGAGAGAGAGAGAGAGAGAGAGAGAGAGAGAGAGAGGAGAGAGGAGAGAGAGAGAGAGAGAGAGAGAGAGAGAGAGAGAGAGAGAGAGAGAGAGAGAGAGAGAGAGAGAGAGAGAGAGAGAGAGAGAGAGAGAGAGAGAGAGAGAGAGAGAGAGAGAGAGAGAGAGAGAGAGAGAGAGAGAGAGAGAGTCTTTGGATATTGAACATTTGTTTATTGATAATGAACATCTTGTATTCCCACGTCATCTCGCCCTCTGATTGGCCAGTGTTGAATAAGTCAATCCAAGAAGGCCCTTAAGTGGATTGCTATTATTGATAACTCATATACGGTATATAAGTTGTTTTCAATCTTTAGTTATGTGAAGTAATGATAAGTAGAGTGGACCCAGCTTCAGAGATAGAGTGCCAAGGCTTGACCCAGCTTCAGAGATAGAGTGCCAAGGCTTCATCCAGCTGCAGAGATAGAGTGCCAAGGCTTGACCCAGCTTCAGAGATAGAGTGCCAAGGCTTGACCCAGCTTCAGAGATAGAGTGCCAAGGCTTGACCCAGCTTCAGAGATAGAGTGCCAAGGCTTGACCCACCTGCAGAGATAGAGTGCCAAGGCTTGACCCAGCTGTAGAGATAGAGTGCCAAGGCTTGACCCAGCTTCAGAGATAGAGTGCCAAGGCTTGACCCAGCTGTAGAGATAGAGTGCCAAGGCTTGACCCAGCTGTAGAGATAGAGTGCCAAGGCTTGACCCAGCTGTAGAGATAGAGTGCCAAGGCTTGACCCAGCTTCAGAGATAGAGTGCCAAGGCTTGACCCAGCTTCAGAGATAGAGTGCCAAGGCTTGACCCAGCTTCAGAGATAGAGTGCCAAAGCTTGACCCAGCTGCAGAGATAGAGTGCCAAGGCTTGACCCAGCTTCAGAGATAGAGTGCCAAGGCTTGACCCAGCTGTAGAGATAGAGTGCCAAGGCTTGACCCAGCTTCAGAGATAGAGTGCCAAGGCTTGACCCAGCTTCAGAGATAGAGTGCCAAGGCTTGACCCAGCTTCAGAGATAGAGTGCCAAGGCTTGACCCAGCTTCAGAGATAGAGTGCCAAGGCTTGACCCAGCTTCAGAGATAGAGTGCCAAGGCTTGACCCAGCTGCAGAGATAGAGTGCCAAGGCTTGACCCAGCTTCAGAGATAGAGTGCCAAGGCTTGACCCAGCTTCAGAGATAGAGTGCCAAAGCTTGACCCAGCTACAGAGTAATTTTTCCTATAATGCAAATTACACAAAAATCAATATTCAAATGACTCCCCCATTCTCATGACATTAATTATTGATGAAATTATCGTTTAAGATAACCTGGTTAAGGCTCAATAAATCGATATAATAAAAAATGGCCGATACAATATGGACATTACTGCCAATTTATTGACAGGCTCACATTTTGTTGACAATAATCAGCTGATCTATGTTTTGGTGCCGGAGTGAGCTGGTTAGGGTGTGTATATACTGAGCTCACAACACCTGCTATGTATTATCCCATTTGTATAGTTTGTTGAGTATGGTTGAGTACCTAACCTAGCCTAACCTAACCTAACCTAACCTAGCCTAGCCTAGCCTAGCCTAACCTAACCTAACCTAACCTAACCTAACCTAACCTAACCTAGCCTAGCCTAGCCTAACCTAGCCTAACCTAGCCTAACCTAACCTAACCTAACCTAACCTAACCTAACCTCTTGTCAAGTATTCAGACGAATGACCAAGTAATGACGAATGTTTTCTCCTCGAAAAATATGATTTTCTCGAGGAGAAAACCCCCCAAAACCTCGACTCCAGACGCCAATAGGCTTTCGTTGCTTTCCTCGACAGGTTAAACCACCTTGTGCTTGGACCTGGACCCGTTGGGTTCCACCTGGTGAACGTGGGACTACACTCCTGTGCTTGTCTCCTCCTGACGCGCCTCCTGCTGCGCCTCCTGCACCTGCCGCGGGCCACCGTCCTCTCTGTCAGCCTCATCTTCGCTACACACCCCGTCCACACTGAGGCGGTGAGTGCTCTTTCACTGTGGTTGACGCCAGGTCTACCTCCCAGTACTACGGGCTCACCATAGCCCGTGCTACTTGGAACTTTTTGTTCCAGGAAGGGAATCTTTTAAAAATAACAACATTCCTCCCAGTAGATGACTGATTCCAGGTACGCGATATGATTAGTTACTTGAGTAGGCATTAGTAGGTAGCGTGTAATCTACTATCTACTTACTCTACTTCTACCAGGTGACTGGATTGGTGGGTCGAGCAGATATATTAGCGACGTTGACCTTCCTGGCTACCATCCTCGCTTACCACAGGTAAATATCTGCCATCTGTCTCTTTGTCTGTCTGTCTCTCTCTCTTTCTGTCTCTACGTCTCTCTGTCTTTGTATGTCTCTGTCACTTTTGTTTCTGTCTGTATCTCTGTGTCAATGTTTCTTTGTCGCTGTCATGTGTTGCATCTAGGGGGAAGGATCCTTGGGAAGAGGCCTCGATAAACATATAAGGCTGTATGGTGCTGAAAGCGTATGTATAGCTGTGAAAATAAATAAACCAGGACGGGGGTTCGAACCAGCATTATGGCTGTCAATATAACGGTCTCCATGCCCAACCAGTTCCACGACTTCCTGAATAGGATAAGGGGGAATCAGAAATAAGTACATATAAGGACACAAAGGAATCACACAAATGTGATTTATCGACGATAAAATATTATGTAATAGTGAAATGGGATGGAACTATCCCTGACCTATCCAGGCACAGGCACTACCCGCTCAGCCATGATGAGCTTAACAGTTACTTAGAGACTTACGTGGAGTTTGGAAGGCCCCCATCTGGTACCCGCCCACGCCCAGGTACCCGCCCACGACCAGGTACCCGCCCACGACCAGGTACCCGCCCACATGGTACTGAAGTTTCCCACTGCAAGCCCATCATTGTTCAGTCAGTAGTGTGTGTCTGGGAAGTCCAGGGACGCAGGTTCGATCCCACATCATAAAAACATTGCTAAAACGTGTATCTGTCAATGCCAGGACATTACCGATAGGTCTCCCCTTTCCCAGAGCAATTATGGCGGATTATGAGGAGATCCTCGACGCTGAAGGAGGCGGCGACGAAGGAGAAGGATCACGTGCCGAAGGAGAAGAATTAAACGTGAGGAAGGACGACATCCTCCTGGAAGAGCCTCCTGGAAGGTCCTCCTGGAACGCCAGCAGAAGAGGCGCCCATGGGATAGTACCAGAGGGAATCGGTGTAACGGGAGAAGGGAACACAACCTTTGATGGAAAGGAGGGAGATAGAGAGGGTAAAGGATCGTTGCTGTGGGTAGGACGGACGGGGATGGTGGCAGGGCTCGGGACACTGTGTAAGGAACACGCCCTCACCGCCCTGCTGGTGTGTGTCGCCTGGGACCTCACACTCCACACCTCACACCTCTCCAGGTGTGTAGCCTTGGCTTCCTCACACTCCACACCTACAATGGATGTGTTTTGTTTAGGGAAGGATCTCTGGTGTCCAGTAAAGGTCTAAAGTCTCAGTTGAGTAGCAGTTAGGTGCCCCGGTGAGCCTTGCTTATTGTGTCCATCCCTGGTGTGGTTGGTCGAACAATAGTCTCGTCCTACTGAAGCCTGGGTTCGAGTCTCGGATATAAATATTTATAGAAAATGGATTTATATCAATTTTGTGTAAATATCATAAACAGTTTCAGGCCTCAGTTCTCCTCCCCTAATAATAATAATAATAATAATAATATTAACAACAGAAAATTATATTCAACGTTAGACGACCTGGATATAATTACACTCGCTCTTGGAGAAACTACCATTAGTGTAAGGTTTTAAAATCTAAATACATATTGTATAAAAAATTAAAGTCTACATCAACAGTGTATCAATGTTTAAAATTTTAATTAATATTTTACTTCTAAGTAGCTATATAACTAGTTGACATCATTCTATAGTAACTTGTAACTAAAATAACTATAGAATGTAATATGATTTTTTGGGAACCTTTACTTATAAACAGTAAAAAGTGTTTAAATCAACAGGTTACTACTCAAGAACTATTTATCTATATACTAAGAGAGAGAACATTGTATAAACAGAACATTGTAGCAGTCAACATCAAAATTAGAATTAAAAGTCTTGTAAACATGCGAATATATTCTCCTTGTACTTCAGGACCCTTCGGCAGCAGTCGACCAGCCAACACCTTCGGCTTCTCCTGAAGAGGGTCTTCTGGCTGGGTGTGGCGGTGAGTCGTGCTGCTCTTGATGACATCCAGAGAGACGCAGGTAGTAGTTCTACAATAGAGGCTAGCTCAATAGCAAGCAGAGGCCAGCATGAGGTGGCTCTATACCAGAGGCCAGCAAAAGGTAGCTATATAGAAGAGGCTAGCGAAAGGTAGGATAGAAGAGGCCAGCAGAAGCTAGCTCTTTATAGAGGGTAGAAGACGGTACCTCTTTATAGAGGCCAGCAGAAGGTAGCTCTTTATAGAGGGTAGCAGAAGGTAGCTCTATAGAGGGCAGCAGAAGGTAACTCTATAGCAGGAGCTAAGAGCAATACCCTCCATACAGAGGGTAGTGTAGGTTAGATGAATCAGATTAGTGAAGGGTATTATGATGAACACCGCTTGCCTCTACCTCTGAGTGCCGTATACGCTGCCAAACAGACAATTACACAAACACTTACGAAACCTGTCCATCTTTCCACAATCATAGCGGCTTTGTTTACATATATTAAACAGTCTATGAGCTCCAAATCCCTACTAAGTTGTTTATGACAATAATAACCTCGGGTTGTGAAGTTTCCAAACTCGTAAAATGTTAAGAAAATGTAAACAAAGCCACAATTGGCGATGAAAGATGCACAAGTTTCGTAAGGAGTTGCGCAAATGTGCCAGTAAGATTAACATTTGACATTGTACACAGGGAGCCGCCATCTTGAGTTTCCGGTTGTGGATGATGAGAGGAGCTCCACCAGCCTTCACCACACAGGACAACCCGGCCTGCTTCTCCTCCTCTCTCCTCACAAGGTAGGTCACCTCGGCCTGCGAGGCAGTGTTCCCAGCGAGGCAGTGTTCCCAGCGAGGCAGTGTTCCCAGCGAGGCAGTGTTCCCAGCGAGGCAGTGTTCCCAGCGAGGCAGTGTTCCCAGCGAGGCAGTGTTCCCAGCGAGGCAGTGTTCCCAGCGAGGCACTATAGTCCCCATGAGAAAGACAAATGCATATCATCCATCAGTTGGTCGGCTCCGGCCCGAGCCTGATAACATTAAAGGCTGCTAACGTGTCGAATTTATCACTTTGTCGGAAGGGATTTGCTTCCTGACTGCGGTCGACGTTCCAGCCAGTTGCCTCAGGCGCGGAACACCACTCAAGCCTCAATTGTGTTCCATGGAACACCGCCCAGGAGCACATTATGGCATGGCTTCTTGGGACACAGTGTTGGTGTCATTATTACGGAACAACCCCCCCTTCCCCCCCACCCCACCCCTCATCCAGGAATCCACTTCACCCTCCGTCATCCACTCCAACCCCCCCCCCTCCGTTTATCATCAAAGGGTTCCGACAGTAGCCACACACTTAAGCCTCCTCATGGACTACCCTCAAAGGCTTGCCTCAAGGGCTTACCTCAAGGGCTTCCCCCCCCCCTCAAGGGCTTACCTCAGAAGCCTCGAATGATGCAGCGCCGGCCACAATGCCAAGAGGTTTCTGGAGATTTAGACCAAGAACTCTCAGAATGTATTGTCTTAGAAATCTTTTTGTCAAACTTATACAAGTCATTACAATAATGGTTGGACCAAACAGGTGAACAGCCGTCTAAATTAGACTTAAAGTTATATTCTAAAGTGTATATTTAGTTTATCATTTAAAAATTGTGTATATAAAAAAACTAAGTGTATTAGAATTAAGAATTGTATGTAAACTGTATGATGAAAATAAATGTAAATTTGTCAACGAATTATACAATCGTTATAAGAGTTTACATAATTATATAAATTTACAGAAAACTCCTGAAGGCCTATTGGCTCATATGAGACACTCCCAGACTCACTCAATATGTCTAACCTACGCTTGAAACACTCCAACTATCCCACCTCTATTATCTTACCCAGTAATTGGTTCTATAAATAAAAAAATCTGTTTCCTTCGCCCAATTGATGACATTAAAATTATATTACGAACGGAAAAATAAGTTGTGTAGGGTTTTATGCCTAACAACCTCTGGAGGGTTGTTAAGGCCGCCACAACACCTCACTGATCAACCAGGAAGTATACTTTAGTCCTGAACATTGTCCAAGACTAAAGTATACTCTGTATATACACCGAAACGCTAGGTATACCTCTTTGTGTATATATCCCTGCTAGTAAAGATTAATTATCCTTCAGATCATTGCCTGCGTATACAACATTACGCAACCACTTACGAAACCTGTACATCTTTCCTCAATCATGTCGGCTTTGTTTACATTGATTTACCAGTTAATGAGCACCAATGTACTAATTGGTTATTTAAAACAATAATAACCTTGGGTTGTGAAGCTTCCAAGCTCGTCAACTGTTTAATATATGTAAACAAAGCCGCCATGATTGAGGAAAGATGTACAGGTTTCGTAAATGGTTGATGAATCCTGAGTAGTAAACCTGGAATGTGTTGTGAGAGATGTGCTCCCAAGGCCAGCTTGGGCCCAGTCCTGCTTCAGAATACACACATATATCATATTTCTAATAAAAATTTTAATTGTTTCAATATTAATCATAAAAAGGTACTTTAAATATTGTATTATGTAAAATGTATTGTAATGGTTCAGGGTGTTGACGCTGTGGTACTTGCCGGCGCTCAACGCTTGGCTTCTGTTATGTCCCTGGACGCTGGCCCACGACTGGCAGATGGGCTCCATTCCACTCCTGACATCCATCGGGGACCCCAGGAACATGGTCTCTCTGGCCTTCTACCTCTCCCTCCTCCTTATATTAAGGGCTGGAGTTCTGGCCAAGGTGAGGATTGGATGGGTGATTTGTTGTGTTTGGTTCATAATTCTTCTAAAAATATATACATGCATGAACACTTCCCGCCAGCACGACTCACCACACAGGGCTCATAAACTCACATTCTTATTTAACCCTCCGAGGAGTTAATAAATGTATTTCAAGACATTCTCATCAGTAGAGAAATTAAAGAGTATAGTAATAAAATATATTTATTCTGGGAAAAAATAATGACTTTCATGTTTATATAATTACTGTAAAAAAAAACAACAACTGTAATATATAAATATGATTACTGCATCATTTCTACTTTCCCTTGTGCGGGCAACAGGGGCATGAGAGTAAAGCGATGCTGTTGGGGTTGTCGCTGTTAGTGCTGCCCTTCTTACCCGCAACCAATCTTCTTTTCGCCGTCGGTTTTGTGGTCGCTGAAAGAATTTTGTACATCCCCAGGTGAGTAGTGAATCACTTTAACATTCCTGTAACTCCAATTCTTTCCCGTGTAACTAACATGCCCAGCCCTTGTAATTAACAACCCATCCTCACTAACCGGATATCCTCTCCTTGTTTCCCCAGCTTGGGGTACGCAGTGCTGGTTGGTTTAGGTCTCTCCAGGCTGGGGCGGCTCCGGGCGCCCTGCCTCGTCCTGCTCCTGTTAGTCTTCTCCTGCAGGACTCTGCATAGGAACAGAGATTGGGAGTCCAGAGAGACGCTTTTCCTGTGAGTGTTGGTGATAGGATTTCTTTTTAACTGGTGCTTGAAACAATCAACGGATCCCACGTCAACTAAGCAATTCGTTAATTTGTTCCACAAACCTCCCCATACCTTCCAATTGACCTCTCAGCCCAATATTATTTAAGAACTCCAGACCATGTACTTAATATTGTTTTAATGTTTCATGCATTTTCTCTGCCCTGGTACGTGGATACCTCCAGGGCGGGACTCAGAACTCTTCCACACAACGCCAAGATGCACTACAACTTCGCCAATCTACAGAAGGACTTAGGCAACGTTGAACGAGCCAAGTTCCACTACCGGGAGGCCATCAGGTTAGATGTTCTCTTGCTTTGTTAGTGTTATGATGGGGTTTAGGTCAGGTATAGGAACCGGACACGTTGGGGGCCAAGTATAGGAACCGGACACGTTGGGGGCCAAGTATAGGAACCGGACACGTTGGGGGCCAGATATAGGAACCGGACACGTTGGGGGCCAGATATAGGAACCGGACACGTTGGGGGCCAAGTATAGGAACCGGACACGTTGGGGGCCAGGTATAGGAACCGGACACGTTGGGGGCCAAGTATAGGAACCGGACACGTTGGGGGTCAGATATAGGAACCGGACACGTTGGGGGCCAAGTATAGGAACCGGACACGTTGGGGGCCAGATATAGGAACCGGACACGTTGGGGGCCAGATATAGGAACCGGACACGTTGGGGGCCAGATATAGGAATCGGACACGTTGGGGGCCAGATATAGGAACCGGATGGGTAACTAAGCATCAAGTGTATATGTGACATACACTTGTATGTATTACTTTGAATGGTGTATGTCTGTATGGTTTAGGACTTCCTTACGCTTCTTTTCTCTTCTTCTTCTTGCCTCATGCTTCTTCCCTATGTCCTTTCCTCGGCTTCGTCCCCTCTTCCACTACTTCTAAACCTCCCGTTGCTCAGGGTCAGGATTCAACAAGCATTTATGAAACCTGTACATCTTTCCTCAATCATAGCGGTTTTGTTTACAATTATTAAACAGATTATGGGCTTCGAATCACAACCAGGTTGTTTATACCAATAATAACCTCTCCCTTTCTCCCTTCATTCTCCTCCCCCCCCCTCCAAGACTCTGGCCGGGACACTGGAGCGCCCACAACAACCTGGGCACTCTACTGAACGACACCTCAGAGGCAGAGAACCACTTTCAGATGGCGTTGAAGGCCCACCCACAACACGCCCACGCCCACTACAACCTGGCCAACCTTAGACAGTAAGTACAACACGCCCACAACACGCCCACAACCCACCCTGTCCTCACGTTAAAAGTACCGCATTTGTCACGCTCCTGGCCACACCGTCACTATTACGGTGGTCTTACTGAACCAGACAAGGGCCAGGATTCATCAAGCACTTAAGTATCCACTTACGAAACCTGTACATCTTTCCTCAATCACGGCAGCTTTGTTTACATTTATTTAAGCAGTTTATGAGCACCGAAGCACTACGAGGTTGTCTATAACAATAATAACCTCGGGTTGTGAAGTTTCCAAGCTGGTAAACTGTTTACTAAATGCAAACACAGCCGCAACAGAGGAAAGATGGACAGGTTTCGTAAGGAGTCACGCAAATGCTTGATACCCAATCCTGAATACTGTTTATTTTCTTTATTATTTCGATGATTTCACATAGTTTAAAATAAATACTATGTATTAATATGATGGATAAACAGATATCGTTCAGGCGGTATGTGAGACATTTGATATAATCACTTTTGATATCATATACATTAGATATAAACACTTTTGACATAATATACATTTGATATAAACACTTTTGATATCATATACATTCGATATAAATACTTTTGATATCATATACATTTGATATAAACAATTTTGATATAATATACATTTGATATATACACTTTTGATATATACATTTGATATAAACACTTTTGATATATACATTCGATATAAACAGTTGATATAATATACATTCGATATAAACACTTTTGATATCATATACATTTGATATAAACACTTTTTATATCATATACATTTGATATAAACACTTTTGACATAATATACATTTGATATAAACACTTTTGATATCATATACATTAGATATAAACACTTTTGATATCATATACATTTGATATAAACACTTTTGATTTCATATACATTAGATATAAACACTTTTGATTTCATATACATTAGATATAAACACTTTTGATATATACATTTGATATAAACACTTTTGATATCATATACATTTGATATAAACACGACTCTTTATTTTGTGTCCGTGTCGTGTGCGTCAGGAAGCAGGGTCGTGTGAGCGAGGCTATGGCCCTCTTGGAAGAGAGTCTACGTCACGACGCTACAAGCAGGGACGCCGTCTCCGTCCTGGCCGGCCTCTACGTCGACGTCGGACGACCCGACGACGCAGAAAAACTTCATTTGGCGTTACTAGCTGGTCGTCCTTCCGATCCTGCCGTCCACAACAACTACGCCGCCTTCCTTCAGAGGATAGGTCAGTGTGTTCACCTTCAGAGGATAGGTCAGTGTGTTCAGCTTCAGAGGATAGGTCAGTGGGTTCACCTTCAGAGGATAGGTCAGTGTGTTCAGCTTCAGAGGATAGGTCAGTGGGTTCACCTTCAGAGGATAGGTCAGTGGGTTCACCTTCAGAGGATAGGTCAGTGTGTTCAGCTTCAGAGGATAGGTCAGTGGCTTCACCTTCAGAGGATAGGTCAGTGGCTTCACCTTCAGAGGATAGGTCAGTGGCTTCACCTTCAGAGGATAGGTCAGTGGCTTCACCTTCAGAGGATAGGTTAGTAGGTTCACCTTCAGAGGATAGGTCAGTGGCTTCACCTTCAGAGGATAGGTCAGTGTGTTCACCTACATTATCCTCATCAGGATAAACTAGGCATTCTTACTTAGGATAATGGGTACTAATGATACCCACATACCAGCCCTTGTTTCCTAGCAATAACTAGAAGCTACGAGGCCCATTTTACCCCAGGAAGAGTTTCGTCCAGCTACTAACTAGGATGTTATCCATGTTATCTAGCAACAACGTCGTCTCAGCTAGTGACTAGTATGTTATCCATGTTATCTAGCAACAACTTCTTCCAGCTAATAACTAGGATATAACTCCTATAATCTCAGCATGATCTTCTAATCGCTCCTCACCAAACTTAATTCCACAAAATTTTGTCCTTATCACTCTGCCCTTCCAAAGAAATGCAAAGGGCAGTATAGAGAATAAGATCAGAAGTCATCAAGCATTTATACGCAACCACATACGAAACCTGTACATCATTCCCTAGTCACTGCGGCTTTGTTTACATATACTAAACAGTTTATGAGCTCCACAACACTACGAGGTTGTTTAAGACAATAATAACCTTTGTGAAGTTTCTGACTCGTAATCTGCTTAATAAATATAAACAATACCGCCATTAGTGATAAAAGATGTACAGGTTTCGTAAGTGGTAGCGTTAATGATTGATGAATCCCGGATTTTAAAGCCTTTGTTCTCAAGCCTTGCAAATATCTCTGAGTTGCCAGGGTTGGAATGCTGAGTTGTTTTGTTTGCCTGGTTGGTTAGTTGGTTGGTTGCCTGGTTGGGTGGTTGAGTGGTTGAGTGGTTGGCTGGTTGACTGGCTGGCTGGCTGACTCCCTCACTGACTGATTTTCTCACTGACTGACTGCCTCACTGACTGACTGCCTCACTGACTGACTGCCACACTGACTGACTGCCTCACTGACTGACTGCCTCACTGACTGACTGCCACACTGACTGACTTCCTCACAGACTGACTGCCTCACTGACTGACTGCCTCACTGACTGACTGCCTCACAGACTGACTGCCTCACTGACTGACTGCCTCACTGACTGACTGCCACACTGACTGACTGTCTCACTGACTGACTGCCACACTGACTGACTGCCACACTGACTGACTGCCTCACAGACTGACTGCCTCACTGAATGACTGCCACACTGACTGACTGCCTCACTGACTGACTGCCACACTGACTGCCTCACTGACTGACTGCCTCACAGACTGACTGCCTCATTGACTGACTGCCTCACAGACTGACTGCCTCACTGACTGCCACACTGACTGACTGCCTCACCGACTGACTGATTGACTCCCTCACAGACTGACTGCCACACAGACTGGCTGACAGTCCACCTCCCTGTCCATCCACAGTTACTCTCCCCTATTGTTCAACGTACCTTACACATAAACCACCCCCCCCTCTACCCCTTTTCTCCGACCCATTTCCCCTTTCCCTCTTCATTCGCATTTCTCATTATCTCTCCCCGTTTCCTTGCTTATTATTCCTGTCTCTCTCTTCCCCTTTTCCATTTTCCCTTCCATTACCTATTACAATGTTTATCAAGCGATCAGACGGCATCAGAACTCCTCACATCTTCCCCCTTAAGTTAATGAAATGTGTGATTACAACTTGCGATCTGGGGAAGTTAATATCCCCGATAGACTATTAAAAGTTAATATCTCTGATAGACTATTGCAAGTTAATATCTTCGATAGACTATTAAAAGTTATTATTTCTGATATATATATATATATATATATATATATATATATATATATATATATATATATATATATATATATATATATATATCAGATATCTCTGAATATATATATCGTAAACTGTTTAATTAATGTAAACAAAGCCTCCTCGATTATTGAAAGATGTACAGATTTCGTAAATGGTTGCGTAAATTCTTGATGAATCCTGGACCTGGCGGGTCGAACCTTCGTTAAGTGAAACACTTGAGAGAGAGAGAGAGAGAGAGAGAGAGAGAGAGAGAGAGAGAGAGAGAGAGAGAGAGAGAGAGAGAGAGAGAGAGAGAGAGAGAGAGAGAGAGAGAGAGAGAGAGAGAGAGAGAGAGAGATTACAGAACTCTGCGGGATTACATCCCACGTTTCACTATCTCTTGTAGCGGGGAAGGCTACCTTTTGATCAGTGTTTTTTTCACCTAAATATTGATAGGAGCTCATTAAAGGAGCCAGGAGCCAACTGTGTGCCAGATCCTTCATACTGTCGGTTAGTTTAGTTTCCCGCCCACCAATGTGTTCAGCGAACAGGTTCCAGATGCGAGTCAGCCCCGAGAATGAATGATCGCTGATGGAGTGCTGTTCTTGAGAAAGGCCTTACAAGCGTGAGACTGTTGATGGCTGAGCGCCTTGTGTTATGGGTACCAGTTATTGGTTGTCCACGAAGTTGGGCCAGGTGAGGAATTTTGAAAATGTTGGCCTTGTACATAGTAGAAAGTTCACCAACATCTCGACGGTGTTGAAGGCTCTAATGTTCTGACCAGTCCAACTTCCTCCCAATCATTATGATGAATGATGAGAACCAATCAATCCAGGAAAGGGATGCATACTTAAGAAAGCAAACTTTAAGTTTCCTAGCTGTCTTGTTTGCTAGATTCAACATGTAGATTAAGATGTTCAGTAGGAGTCACACTTCATTCCCAACAAATAAACTTCCTCACTGAACACTTGGTTTTTGCCGATCATGTGTATGCCAGTCCAACTTGCTATATGATGTCTAGTCATTATCATCATCATCACCTATGTTTCCTCAGCCACAAACGTGACCTTCCATTCCCTTCCTCAGGTAGAAATTGCTGAAAGTCTGTGATTAATGACCTTTGTAGCAGTTGGTATTTCTTCTTTTCCACGTGTAAAGGTTAGACTACAGTCGTCAGCATAGGCTTCAGGTTAGAGAAGAATGTGAAGCAGATCTTTGAAATAGACATTTCACAGCAGAGGGCCAAGCACACTACTTTGTGGTACATTGGCACCACTTGAGTGACTTTCAGACTCGTTCATTCAGGACTACTCTTAAGAGTCCGTTCTTGAAGGTAGTCCATTATCAGTTGTAAAATGAAGCCCGAGAGAGTGTTCTCTCTCTCTTTCTGTGCAGGCGATGAGTCACAATAATGTGGCTGAAGTAGTTTGACTACACCACACACTACAAGGTGTAGGAACGACGACGTTTCGGTCCGTCCTGGACCATTCTCAAGTCGAGAATGGTCCAGGACGGACCGAAACGTCGTCTCTCTCTTTCTCTGAGGATTTAGCGTTAACCTGAGATGCCTCCCCCATCGTCAGGTCGAGGTGAGGCAGCGCTGAGGCACTACGAGGCGGCACTGGCCCTCGACCCGGACCACAAAGTGGCACTAGTGAACACAGCGAGACTCATGACTTCTCTCCACCACGATAACCAGGCTAAGATGCTCTACAAGAGGTAAGCAACAGTGTTCAACAAGAGCTGAATAACACAAAGTGTTCTATTATAAATAATATACAATGTTCTTCACGAAATGGGTGAAATACAAATTGTTCTACATGTCAATAACTACTTGCCAATATCTAGCCTCTGTAAGCCATAACCTACCCTTAAGCTATTACCTCTTTAATGTCAATATCCTACCCCCTAGCCTAGCCTATTCCTAACCTCGGTAGCTATGCTACTCCTAGCCTAGACTACCCTACGGTTCAATTACTACTGCCCAACTCTTAGCCTAGTTAACCCTAAAGCACGATAACTACTGGCCAACTCCTAGCTATACTATCATCAGCCATTCCTACTAAATAAATAACTCATTAGTTCTGCTAGCCAAACAGCCCACTAGCACCCCCCCCCCAAACTACCTCACCCTAGCCTCGCTAGCCTAATAGCACTAGAGATCCATAAACTACCCCCTATTAAGGACCAAATGATTATCACAATTCTTGTAAACTAACTACCCTCAACACCGTAAATAAATTGACCTATTAAATCCTACTAACCATCTGTACCCAAAACAAACATTACTTTCCAATTAGTCGCCAGCCCCACTGACGAACTAATTCCCAGAGCCATACAACGTACGTCATTAGTAACTAGCTAGTTCAATGCCGCTAACAACCTAGAGCACAGGTAACGAACTATAACGAGGTAATCTCGGCCTGTAACAAGCAGACACTTGTGCCCCGACAGAGCCCTGGCCGTCGCGTGGGAAGCGGAGGTGGGAGAAAGTCTTGGGAAGCTGTACCTAAACAATGGTCGACTGGAGGATGCTGAGGCAACATTCATCTCTGTCCTCTCCCGCTACCCTCAGATGCTGTCCTCCAAGGTGTACCTGGTGAGTGAGAGAGAGAGAGAGAGAGAGAGAGAGAGAGAGAGAGAGAGAGAGAGAGAGAGAGAGAGAGAGAGAGAGAGAGAGAGAGAGAGAGAGAGAGAGAGAGAGAGAGAGAGAGAGAGAGAGAGAGAGAGAGAGATGTGTGTGAATACAGTGTATTACGCTGCACAAGTTCCCTCTCGCTTGGATCCACATCTTCAAGGAAGGTAAAGTCAGAAGTCAGCCTTTACTACACAGCCTTACGAGTTTTCCATCTCCCACTGCCATCTCTGGCGTTTACATTTCTCTCATCTGATTTGTGGAAATTTACATAGTAATGAGTTGATTTCAAATTGAATTTGCTCAGTTTATTTTTGCGAGAAGTTGTGTTCTGTATACTCTCTCTCTCTCTCTCTGTCACTCTTGTGTCTCTCTCTCTCTCTCTCTCTCTCTCTCTCTCTCTCTCTCTCTCTCTCTCTCTCTCTCTCTCTCTCTCTCTCTCTCTCTCTCTCTTTTACGATTGCGGTAGTTACGATTCAGTAACTACCCACCCCCTTAAATCACCATTAATTCCCTCTCCCCCTCTTTACTGCCTTTACTACAGGCCCGGGTCAAACTACAACAGAGGAACTACCATCAGAGCGAGGAACTACTGCGAGAGGTACTTAACCAGGCCCCAGGGCAGCAGGAGGCACTATTCCAGCTGTCTCTTCTCTACACTCACACTAATCGTACCCAGGATGCCCTAGTTCTTGCTCAGCAGGCGGCCCACAACTGCTCAATACCACCCACGCTCTGCGCACACTTGCTTGCGCATTATGGAGACTTGCTCAGTGATAAACACAACATTGACGAGGCGGCCCAGGTTAGTGGTGTGGCCCAGGTTAGTGGTGTGGCCCAGGTTTGTGATGTGGCCCAGGTTAGTGGTGTGGCCCAGGTTAGTGGTGTGGCCCAGGTTAGTGATGTGGCCCAGGTTAGTGATGTGGCCCAGGTTAGTGATGTGGCCCAGGTTAGTGGTGTGGCCCAGGTTAGTGGTGTGGCCCAGGTTAGTGGTGTGGCCCAGGTTAGAGGTGTGGCCCAGGTTAGTGGTGTGGCCCAGGTTAGTGGTGTGGCCCAGGTTAGTGGTGTGGCCCAGGTTAGTGATGTGGCCCAGGTTAGTGGTGTGGCCCAGGTTAGTGATGTGGCCCAGGTTAGTGATGTGGCCCAGGTTAGAGGTGTGGCCCAGGTTAGTGATGTGGCCCAAGTAGAATGTATTGTGTGTTGAGTTATACTCATTAGATAAGAACAGATGAATGGAATTGGTTTGATTTTATTAAGCTGTGTATAAATAGGACTTGCCTTGTATAGGCCAGTAGGCCTTCTGCAGTTTAATGTATTCGTATGTTCTCATGTTCTATTTTTATGTTCTGTTCTTATGTTATGTTCTAATGTTCGGTTCTTATGTATTATTCTTATGTTATGTTCTAATGCTCTTATGTTCGTTTATTTTAATGTTCCTTTGTTCTAATGTTCTTGTATTATGTTATGTTCTAATGTTCTTATGTACTCATGTTATGTTCTTAAGTTCATATGCTATGTTCTTGTGTTATTTCGTGGCTTGCATAACTTTATTGTTTTTTTCTAGTTTAATATAATAATAAAGTGTTTTCTCTTATTAATAACATTTATCTTAGCAATATATATCATTTAGGTGTTTCAAGGCCATATTAACTTGATTTTATTTGTTTTTAAAGAGTTATCTGCTGGCGGTGGAGTTGGAACCGACTTTAACCCACGCGCATGTGAACCTCGGAGCCTTGTACCACACTAAGGTAAGGTCCATACCACAATAGTTCTCTTGAACAGTCCTTATTGGCTTATGATGTTCCCTCCAACTGTATTTTTAGATTTAGCTATTCAGAACGAAATGTCCATGTAGCACGGGCTATGGTGATCCCGTAACCCTCCATCTCATGGGCGTTGTCTTATATACTACATCCCTTCCCCTTCTCCCTATGAAACTCCATAGGGTGTTTCACCTCACCCTAGCATTTTCCTGAGAGATTCGCTATTTATTTTAGGAAAATGTCTTTTCGCCCTATTAGTCACGAAAGATATTTTGCAGTTCATTCTAGAAATCTTTCACCTCATCCTAGCAGTCCTCTGTAATATCTTCCTCACACCTCATATAGGGCCTAGACAAATTCTTACCTTAAATGCCAAACACCCTTTATTAAATGTCCAGCTGCTATATTTAAACCTTATCGTTTACTATAGTATTCTTTAATATATGTATTAAATATATTTATATATTTAAAAAACATATACATATTTATATATTTAAAAAATATTTATATCTGTTTTAATTGGGTGAATTGTATGACCTTCAAAGTATGTTTGTCCAATGGCTTTTTCATTTTTTATCAATTTAAAACAAATAATTTTGATGGGAAATATGGGAAATGGGAAATATTTTAAAATTCCCACAATGAAATGACAACGTGATGCATCTACGAGAGAATAATATTAATTTGAATCAAAGTGAGAACAAATTTAATATTTTAAAAATTAATAAAGATTAATGTCTTCTAGTTGATGACTAGAATGACCCATTAATGACCCAATTGATGACCTCGTTCTTCAGGGTGATTATATCCTGGCGTGGAGACATTACATGATGGCACACGGTCAGGAGCCCCTAAATACCCTTCTGCTGGAGAACATGGAAAAACTCCGTCGGCTCCAGCACCTCCAAGCATCCTCAGGCATCCCTCACTGCTTCAACAAGTCCTGATAGGCTTTGTGTTAGCTTCTAGAGCACCTGGATATATTTTGCATTAAAGATTTCGTTGCCAAAGGTTTCCATGATGGTTTGGTTTTGTGCAAATGTTGTAGGCCGGTGGCGTGAATTGCTGTGGGTAAGTAGGTAAGTGGTTCCACTAACAACACACACACACTAGCTATCTCTGAGTAAATAGAGCAGTTGGTGCTAATAATTGGATGTCATGCATACAGAAAACGAGAACATAACAGTGTTCTAGCAATATACAGACACGTTAATGTATTTAAGTTAATTAAAAGTTAATGTATTTATATATTATATTGCCACCGTCCCAGATGGACGTGGCGCTACACTTGGTCTTGTAAGATCCAAGGAACTTTACCTAATCTTTCGATACCAAGAGATCGCTCTTACGGGAGATAAAGAGTTGAACAAACCTTAAGCCGAATTCATGAAACATTTATACAACCACTTAAGGAACCTGTATATCATTCCTCAGTCTTGGTGACTTAGTTTACATTTATTAAACGGTGTGTAAACTCTGAAGCACCACGAGGTTGTTTACAACAATAATAACCTTGGGTTGTGACGTTTCCAAGTTGGTAAACTGTTTAAAAAGTACAGATTTGAGTCTCAATAATCCAGGAAAGATGTACATATTTCGTAAGTGGAGAGGCAAATACTTGATGAATCCTGACTTGAATTCCGAAATTACAAATTCAATATTTTTTTGCTAATAATAACCAAATCAAGAACAATGTAAATAAAAATTACTATATTTAAATAATACCGGATATGCCAATTAATTATATGTTAACTATGAGTATAACCAAATTTATATCGTGTCATTATTAAAGTCTAAAAGTGACTTTGATGCTAATATTGGCTTTGATGTTAATTGGAAACAGCGTCAATATTAATATATGCTCTTTATTGGCCGGTACAATGAGGCGTGTCAATGAGCTGTCTGTCAAAGTTATTGAATACTGAGGGTGATGATAGTGTGATATACTGACACCCTGACCCCAGTGTGTGTGTGTGATATACTGACCTCAGAGTGTGGGATATACTGACACCCTGACATCAGAGTGTGTATAATATACGAACTATATACTGGATATACTGACACTGACACCAGGGGTGTAATATACTGACAGCCTGACACCAGAGGAAGTGATATACTGACACTAATACTTGTGATATAAGAACGCTTACACTGACACAAATGTACACGATATATATACACTGACACAAGAGACTCAGAAGGCTTATAGAAAACAAGTAGCCAGCAAGCCTATAGGATGCGATTAGCTCAGTAGGCCTAAAATACATGAGTAGCTTAGTAGGCCTATACGACACGAGATGCCCAGCCTATCTATAAGAATCGAGAGGCCCAACTTCTAATATATATTATTGACACAATGAACACAATATTTGATTTAGAAAAAGAGACTTTAATATTATTTTACCCAAATATTGCTTATGAAAGACTTGACTGCTTCGTCCGTGTATGAATGTCAGACTTTAGTCTGTGCTAATGTGTCGGCTATTTTCTGACAGAATGCTATTTTTATAGAAAGTCTGAAATAAATATTTTTAAGAGCAAAATGTGGCATTATTTAATATCCTCACACACACACACACACATGCATAAATAGATAGATAGATAATATAGAAATATATATATTTCTATACATCTATAGATAGATAAATAGATAGATATATAGATAGATAATATTTCAGGGGAAACTATATCATCAACGATTTTGAAGCGGTTATTGGGGTAACTATTATGATTAGATTTTATTGGGGTAACTATTATGGTCAGATTTTATTGTATATTTTGGCGTTATCAGCACATATAATTTCCGATATGGCCAAAAATAATAGTAATTATAATAATTCTGAGTTAAATGGACCTGAGAGATTTTCGAGGGGGGGGGGTATGTAACTTGGCACTCTTTTCTCTGTGATGCTAATCTGAATCCGCGCATGATGGGCACATACCCCCCAGTAATGGCAGGGAAAAATTTGGTGACGCTAACCCCAAGCGTCTGGTATATATATATATACTGCTCTACCTTCCTCTTTTAGTGTTTGTTTCTGGAGTGGTGTGTTGAGGTGGTGTAACAAGGGGCTCCCGTGTGTGGGGGAGGTCTGGTGTGTGGCCAATATTGGGAGAGGCACCGGATACCCCTAATGTGATGAGAAGTCAACATGGAGGTGGGCAGCGGTGTTGGTGTTGGCCAAGTTGACGGAAGGTGTGCCTGCCTTCCGACACCCTGCCTGCCCTCCGACACCCTGCCTGCCCTCCAACACCCTGCCCTCCGACACTCTGCCCTCCGATAAACCTCAGGATACAACATTTACACGAATGCAAAGCTTGAATCCAAATTTAAGATGCTAACTGGGAATCTTAAATTTGATTCCCGGCCGCCTGGGCCTCCGTGGTGTAGTGAAGCTGGAGAGCTCAAGCCACCACCCATCACAGCCACCAGTCACCAAGAATAAACTTGAAAAAATGAAGGAAAACAACTCAGCTTTTTCCAGAAAAGAAAATAACGGTTGAGGGTCCGCAGAGGAGGAGGAGGAGGAGGAGGCAATTATCAGGAGAAAGAGAATTAGGAAGACGAGAAAGAATAATAAAAGAGCAAAGACTAAAGGAGGAAATTGTGAAGGAATTGACAAAAATTGTTGAGTGTGAAGAGGAGCATTAAGATGGAAATATGACACACAAGATCACTTACGAAAGCTGTACATCTTTCCTCACCCATGGAGGCATTATTGGCATTTACTAAACACTTTATGAACTACGAGACTACTTATAATAATAATAACCTTGGGTTGTAAAGCTCGTAAATTGTTTAATAAATACAAACTAAGCTGATTGTTGAAAGATGTACGGGTTTCGTAAGTAGTTGCCTAAATGCCTGAGGACGCCTCGCTAACCCAAGCACACACCTGATCACAGGGACACCACCACACACCTGGCTACGAGGACACGACCACACACCTGGTCACAGGGACACCACCACACACCAGGGGCCAGATTCACGAAGCAGTTACGCAAGCACATACGAACCTGTACATCTTTTCTCAATGTTTGGCGGCTTTGTTTCCAATTATTAATCAGTTAATGAGCTCCGAAGCACCAGGAGGCTGTTTATAACAATAACAACAGTTGAATGGGAAGTTTTCATGTTTGTAAACTGTTTAATAAATGTAACCAAAGCCATCAAAGATTTAAGAAAGACGTACACGTTCGTAAGTGCTTTCGTAAATCTGGCCCCTTGCCACGGGGGACACCAGCACACACCTGGTGACGGAGGACACCAGCACACACCTGGTGACGGAGGACACCAGCACACACCTGGTGACGGAGGACACCACCACACACCTGGTGACGGAGGACACCAGCACACACCTGGTGACGGAGGACACCAGCACACACCTGGTGACGGAGGACACCAGCACACACCTGGTGACGGAGGACACCAGCACACACCTGGTGACGGAGGACACCAGCACACACCTGGTGACGGAGGACACCAGCACACACCTGGTGACGGAGGACACCACCACACATCACGAGCAGCGGCAGAAGGACATCAAGAGGAACTCATTTGTTTATGTTTTAAACCAACTCACAGAAACATCTCATTTACTTACATGTCAAAGCAACTCATTTGTTTATGTCTTAAATCAACTCACAGGAACATCTATTTCAGGCACTTATAGATGTTTTTTTATAAATAAGAAGCTTAGTCGGGAACTTGGCTTAAGACAAGTGTGAAATGAAGCAAACTTTTCCAACAAACTAAAGTTATTTAAAAAGTTAATTTCATCCCCCGTCTCCCACTCGCTTTCCATAATAATAATAAAAGGATTTAGGACGTTGTGACACAAACAAAATTATTTCCTTCATACTTGTCGGTAATATTAATCTAAAAAGAATATTTCTGGCTTACAGGGGCTATAGACGTGGTGCCGCTGTGTTGTTTCAAGCGTAGGGTAGACATATATATGTTTACGTTTGGGTGGGTATAAATAAGAGCCGCCTCACGTAGGGTCAATAGGCTGTCTACGGTTTCTTTATTTCTTATGGTATCAAAGAGGTTTCAGGAGTGGTGTTGAACAATTGCTGAACATTTTATGAACACCCGCGTTATTATGGGGTTTATTAGTAATTCACTTTACTCTAAACCTTTACTTTACTAGTGCTCTGTATTATATGTTGTGCTAACGCTCTCTCTCTCTCTCTCTCTCTCACACACACACACACACACACAGTCTTAAAACTGGGAATATGATTAGAAAAACGAACAAGAGGTCGTTACAGTGACCTCCGTGTGAATGTTGACCCCAGTTGAGCCCTCGGGAGAACTAAGTCATTCCTCCGAAGTACTTAGAATGTGCATGACGCATACACGGTGGGTGTGTGATGTGTATGAGTCATACACATTACACCCACCGTACCTCTGCCTCTCCTCCTACTCCTCCTCCTCTTCCACAGCCTCCATCGAGCACTCATTTCACTTTCATCTTCCCGTATAATTTATACTCTCTTTCCCCTTCCATCTCTCATTTCCTGTATCCTCATCCCCACTCCTCCTCCCCCATCACCACTCATTAATCTCACTCCCCCATTATTTCCCACTGCAGCAAAGGTTGTGTTTTTGTGAGGTGTTGGAGCGAGTTTATTGACCAACCACGCGGCAGATGCCATTAACCGCCTTTCACAACTGCCACGAATCCCCTGTCAGGAGGACCACAGGATGGGCGGTGGCAGGTCCACAGGGAGCCTCACAGATAATCTCAAGCTTGAACCAAAGCTTGACAGCTTTCCTGCCGTGTGGAGCTTAAAGCGGTTTAAGATCTCTGGTGTTGAGGTATTCTGATGGAGAAGGCTGACGTGGTAACCGTCTTGAGGACTTAAGCTTTTAGGCAACTGGAAGTCTTAGTTATTAGTTGATGTAAGTGAAGACTTCTTGCAGGGGAGAGACAAGGGGAGAGACACATCAGGGGACGTCAATATAGGGCATCTAGGGGACACATCAGGGCAAGAGGGCATCCCTAGACGGGGGGGGGGGGGGAAGTAAGACTATTCAGTGCCAATGAGGAACCTCTGAATCTTATGTACTTATGAACGAGGCCAAGAAACAACATAGAGCACTGAAGAATATCTGCTCCATAACAGTGCTTTCAAAACTCCTGCAGAGAGAAATCTCTTCAACTTCTGCCACCAGCAACTCCCGCCACCAGTAACTCCCGTCCCCAGCAACTCCCGCCACCAACAACTTGGTAATCCACATCCGTCGCCGTCCAAGCTAATCCACTTCTTCCCCTCGCATTAACTATTTATCTTGTCAAACTTTCACTACGCGGCGACGTGCGGGGGAGAGAATAGTGTGTGTGGGAGAATAGTATGTAGGGGAATAGTGTTGGGAGAGAATAGTGTGAGTGATTAAGAATAGTGATCTTAACTGCCATATAAACAAAAATAACCGTTCGAAAACAATCAACTTGATAATTCCGAATTGACCCGTTCAACCCTTGTTTAAAGTCGATGTTATTGGAACTTATACAATAGTTACAGAGAATTTCAGAACAGAATTGACGCTTCAGTAAACAGCCTATTCTCTTTAACCTATACAAACTGCAACTTATTTCCCAAATATATTGGGATAATGCAAATCGGCAAGACTGTTCATGCGCTAGAGATATCAGTCTCAAACTCACAGACAATCAAACTCACAGTCAACTCACAGAGTCAAATTCAAAATTAAACTCACATACAATCAAATTCACAATGAACACGTTCACAGACACACACGAGGCTACACACTCACAGACGTACACACGAGGCTACACACTCACAGACGTACACACGAGGCTACACGCTCACAGACGTACACACGAGGCTACACGCTCACAGACGTACACACGAGGCTACACACTCACAGACGTACACACGAGGCTACACGTTCACAGACACACACACGAGGCTACACGCTCACAGACACGCACACACGAGGCTACACGCTCACAGACACGCACACACGAGGCTACATGCTCACAGACACACACACACGAGGCTACATGCTCACAGACACACACACACGAGGCTACACGTTCACAGACACACACACACACACACACGAGGCTACACGTTCACAGACACACACACACACACACGAGGCTACACGTTCACAGACACACACACACGAGGCTACACGCTCACAAACACACACACACACACGACGCTACACGCTCACAGACACACACACACACGAGGCTACACGCTCACAGACCACCAGACAAAGCCTCACAGTCCCACAAACGTTTCAGACATAATTCCAAATAAACAATAGATTCATGTTCTGCAGCGCTCAAAACTTTTATTTCTATTACAATTTTGACAGGAAATTCTGCCTCGTCCAAATTATTATTTTGTGTGGACCGTTTAAAGAGGTAATGTTAACATCTAGTTAACGACCATTTCGCGAACGACGTTTGTTGCTTGGCTTAAGATCTATCATCCTCTATGATAGATGGTTATTAAGGGTACCACGATCGCTTACTGACCAACCAGCAACCCACAACTTTGTTTACCTCATCAGTACATATTTACTGTCAGAAGAACAGATGTATCAGGTGAATGGAACGTGCCCAACCGCTTCTGTCCTGTCAGGGATTGAACCCGGGATCTCATGGTTATGAGTCGAGTACGTAGACCACTGTGCCACATGAAACAACCCCTCACAAGGTTGTGACACCTGACACTACTAGACCATAAGATTAGGCATGTATAACCGAGGGGGTTGTATAGAACTGTCTAATAGTTGTAGTTCTGATTGGCGATTTTTAGCTTCTAGTTGAGAAACGCCACTGAGATATGTACGTGGACTACCACAAATTAGCTAGTTAACAGCCTCATCATTTCATCGTTCCTTACCTTATTACATATCCGTCGTTAACTGTCCCCAGAGAGGCTTCCTGTAGAGTTGTGTAGCCTCGTGTATACTCTTGTAGCCTCATGTAAACTCGTGTAGTCTCATGTAGACTCGTGTTGCCTCATGGAGTCTACGATAGCCTTCTTGCGCGTAGCAGCGACGTTTGTCAATCCCGCGTCAATGCAGCCGCCAAGCGACGCTAAATGACACACTTCACAAATTGCTTCCAGTCCACTTAAATTCCTGAATAAGTGCAATTCCACTTCATTCCGTCGTTCACTATAGTTACAATGTGTTCCTCAGGCACTTTACACACTCGGTATTAATTTATTACTCAACTCTTTCTCGCTTAAACTTTTCGTTCTCTATATTGTAAACAAAAGTTTTAAATATAAAGAATTTACTTTTTAGTTGTATTAAACAAAAGAGATTTTATACAAAATTTTTAAATATCCTGAGTTAGTTTATAATTTATAGAAAGACTTTAGTTTTGTTTTATTAGTTTTATAAAATTGTAATATAAATGTAGCTATAGGTTAAGTACTAATTTTAATTAAGTACCAATAAATACTATTTACATGATTGTCTTCCTACACTCCCTAGGTTAAGTTAGGTCGTAGTTTTCTATACAGCTTTTCAGGTAAACTCTAATATTCACAATATTTTGGTGCGATGCTGGCCATTAAATATATTTGTGTACTATGCCGATAGTCAGGATTGTACCTATTACATTTAGTATTAAAACGTACTGTCTATTCCGAGGAGGGGCTGCAACAAAACTCCCGTGTGTGTATGTGACTGTCAGGGTGACTATTCTGTGGACTGTCGGGAGTGACTGGACTTACTATTACTGCTATGAGGATCAAGCTGTTAGCTCTTGGACTCTACCCTTTTAGCCGTCGGTTGTCTAATAATGTACTGACAATCGACTTGAAATCCTGGGGATATGTTATTTAGTATAATTATATCCCCAGGAGGGAAGCTCAGGACCAGGATTCATCAAACATTTACTCAACCACTTACGAAATTTGGACATTTTTCTTCGACCATCGGAGCTTTGTTTACATTTATTAAACAGTTTACGAGCTCCGAAGCGCTACGAGGTTGTTTATAACAACAATAACCTCGGGTTGTGAAGTCTTCAAGCTCGTAAACTGCTTCATAAATGTAAACAACGCCGCCGTGATTGAGGAAAGATGTACAAATTTCGTAATTGGATGCGTAAATGCTTGATGAATCCTGGCTATTCAAATTAGCCAACACAAGTACAAACGAGGAATGAATCCCCGATTTTTGTCTCCAAGTTCAGCGAGCGATCTCGTACAGGCGTATTATGAGAGTAAACAGCTTAACTCAACGATTGGAATTATACAAACACGAGAGAAGGGAAAATATAGCAAATTAAGTAGCTGAACAAAATGAGAGGGAGAAAATAAGCTTTGACAAACAGACCAGTGAACAAATGAGTACATAATGTACTTGGAAAAGTGGGGTTAGTTTTGGCACAAGGCTACGAAGTTAGGACGTTGGAGGAGGGAGGGAGGGAGGACTGAAGAATTTGCGAGCAAGAGCTTCTTCTATGTCCATGAAGTAATGATTTACGAATACATTTGTGAGAAAAAATAACGTGTAACGAAAAAATAATAATAAGATATATATACCCTCTTACGGTGGTCAAGAGTGTTGGAGAGACAATCTTGTCCCTGCTACGCTCCTGTAGTCGTGAATGATGAGACTGGAGTTCGCAAAGTAAAGTCTTTTACGCCCATTTCTTGCCTTGGCGAACGTTGACAGTGATGCATCACCTGCCGGGCCTGCACCAAGAGACATCATTGGAGCAAATGTTTGAGTCCTTCAACTTCTTTCCAAGAGCCAGGGGGTTGATGTCATTTGAAGCGAAGTGCCTCGATCGCTGTGCCAAGAAGAGCATTTCCTGGCAATAGTGCTTTAGAGCCTTCAGAAAGCAGTTGAACATAGAAGGAGAGTGGAACTTAATGCTTGCCATCGATCTTGGACCTAAGCCAGTCTATAGAACGTGGAGGGACAAGAGAAGAGGATAGGACAAAGAACTGGGACATGAGGACAAGGAGCTGGGATTTGAGAACAAGGAGCTGGGACATGAGGACAAGGGGCTGGGATACGAAAACAAGAAGCTGGGATACGATGACAAGGAGCTGGGATATGAGGACAAGGAAATGGGATATGAGGAAAATGAGTTGGGATATGAGGACAAGGAGCGAAAATTATATTGGAAAATAATTTTAGCATTATTTACTGATTTAAATATTCGCGATTTTCCTTCCAACGTCAATTTTTTCGCGAAAAGTGACAAACTTCCTTTCCAGGCATGAAAGATATATTTTCTCCGGCCGTGAAAGATATCCTTTCTACAGGCATGAACGATATCCCTTTTCAGACGGTGTAGTTAACGCCATATAGCTAGAAGGACATCTGCCCAGTAACGCTGAATTGCCATGATTTTTGCTACAAAGAACAGGGGAAAAGAAAGGTTGAGATGAAGAGAGAGACAGAGAGGGGGGGGGGGGGGAGGAGGAGAGAGAGAGAGAGAGAAAGCGAGATACACACACAACACACACACACGCACACATAGGGGGGCCTCATAGCCTGGTGGATAGCGCGCAGGACTCGTAATTCTGTGGCGCGGGTTCGATTCCTGCACCAGGCAGAAACAAATGGGCAAAGTTTCATTCACCCTGAATGCCCCTGTTACCTAGCAGTAAATAGGTATCTGGGAGTTAGTCAGCTGTCATGGGCTGCTTCCTCGGGTGTGTGTGTGTGTGGTGTGAAGAAAAAAAGTAGTTAGTAAACAGTTGATTGACAGTTGAGAGGCGGTCCGAAAGAGCAAAGCTCAACCCCCGCAAACACAACTAGGTGAATACACACACACACACACACACACACACACACACACACACACACACACACACAGTTATCGCTATTCACAGACACATGTTTGCAGGAACGCACAAATGCATCTTTACATGTATTCAGACTCGCTCACCAGAAACACAAACAGAAGGGGGAGAGACTGCAGGTGTTCTCATGCAACCTGGAGACTGCAGATTCCTCAAAAAAGCTCATACAATGCAAGTGTAATTATAAAGATCATATAAGGCCATGTCACTTAAATCCTCATATAATGCAAGTGCCCCTAAAATCCTTATACAATGTCTACATAAAGTTCATACAATGCAGACATCCCCCACAATAGCTCAGACAATGCAAATTTCCCCCAAAAAACATGCAATGAATGTCTTTGAAGAAAATATATTTATATCGTAGGTGTGATTAAAATGCATGTTTCTTTAAAAACCTCATACATCCAAAATGTAATTAGAAAGCTTATACAATGCAGGTATTCCCAACCCAAAAAAATAAAATACACATGTCCTCCCTCCCCTACCCGAAAAAATCATAGAATGTATTTGTCCCTCAATAACTTAATAGGCTACTGGCCCCCCCCCCCCCTTCTTTCAAAAAATAAAATAAAAAATCCTACTATGCAATTGAAAACTCTCTCTCTCTCCAACCAACATTTTAACCCCGGTTTTCTTCGTGTAAATACAGAAGGATTACTTACGTAAAAGGTTCAAGGAAGCGAAAAATTACCTCAGTTTTCCTGTACACTCTGGGTTTTGATCCCGCTCCTTTGTGAATCGTTCTAGGTGAAGATATATATTATTTAAAAAGCTCGTTGATGTTAAGAGCTTATTCTTGTTAAGAGCGTGTTCTTGTTAAGAGCGTGTTCTTGTTAAGAGCTTGTTCTTGTTAAGAGTGTGTTCTTGTTAAGAGCTTGTTCTTGTTAAGAGCGTGTTCTTGTTAAGAGCGTGTTCTTGTTAAGAGCGTGTTCTTGTTAAGAGCGTGTTCTTGTTAAGAGCGTGTTCTTGTTAAGAGCGTGTTCTTATTAAGAGCTTGTTCTTGTTAAGAGCTTGTTCTTTCTTAGAACTGTTCTTCTTGTCCTTGTTAGGAGCTGTTGTTGTAGGAGAGTGTGTTGATGTTTATTACTTTGACACATAAAGGCGACAGTTGCCTAATTCTCTAGTTATCACTTTAATTGGTAATGTATGTAACATGTTTTATGTTTACATTTTTTATATCTGCCTGTGTTTATCTTTACGTGTGTGTGTTTACACTGTAATAAGACAAAAATGGTAGATGTATATGTCTTTCTCTCTCTCTCTGTCTCTCTCTCTCTCTCTCTCTCTCTCTCTCTCTCTCTCTCTCTCTCTCTCTCTCTCTCTCTCTCTCTCTCTCTCTCTCTCTCTCTCTCTCTCTCTCTCTCTCATTCTCTCTTTGCGATGAAATATCTTGACTTTTGAACTTACCCAAGAAAACTTTTCATCACTTACCATCTGAATAAGGCTCTGATCATCCATGAATTGCCGGCCAAAAGTTTACCTTTGACACTCCCAGGTATACTCCCAGGTATAGTCCCGTGTAAACTCTCGAGCCACCTTCGAGTCATTTACAAAAAAGCGAAACTTAAAAAAAGTGTGACTTTTTTCCTACACATTTATCCGATTTGCGAGGATGTGAAATTGTATTTGATATGCCATATCTCAGAATTTATTTCACGAAGTGTAGAACCTCGCACGTCATATTGCGTCTGTCTATATCACCTTGCGTCAGTATGCGTCATCCTGCGTCAGCCTGTGTCAGCCACGTCAACAAAACCCCACATATGTACACATGCCCCGTATCAAGATAAAAAAATATATCTGATAATTACAGGGGCATAAACCCCATCCCATATGTCACTTGCTCAATAAAAAATAAAGTACCAAAATATATATACATTTCAACCCTTTAAGTGACAATAAAACATAATTAGGAATATAGATCTAATCCAGTCCAGAGCACAAGCTAATCTCACCCCTGGGACCAAGGGCCTCGTAAATATAAATAATTATGTGTAAATATGTATATAATTATTAACTAGCGATATAAATTACAAAATATATGGATATCAGCCCTGTACACTGGTAATAATTATAGAAGTAGGGATATATATATATCTTGTCCATAGTACAAGCTAAATTCGACTCTAGGACCAAAGACTATATAAATAACTATAGTGGGTCCCCGCCCCCTCTCGCATCTCTCTTTCCTTGGGAAGTATTCATTATATAAAATAAGTCACTAATTTAACACGGAATTATAATAAAGTTTTGAAAGCTGTTGAGATATATTTTATTATTTTTTATTTATTTTAATTATTCAATTTAATTATATAATTTATTTATTCAACTTAATTGTTTAATTATTCAATATAATTATTTGATTTAATTATTTAACTATTCGTCTTAATTATTTAATTTAAATATTCAATTTAAGGTTAACTTGCTTCTATCTCATGAATAGTGTTATGAAAAGTGTTCTCCATTAGAATCTAACACCTGACCAACGAGCCAGAGCTCAACCCCCGCTAGCACAATTAGGTAAGTGCACATTTATTCCTTGTTCACGTTCGACAAATTCTAATTGCTGCTTAACAAATCTTAAAATATTCGAACAGTTCTTACTACATTCGAACAGTTCTTAATATCTTCGAAAAGTTCTTAATATCTTCGAAAAGATCTTAATATCTTCGAACAGTTCTTAAGTGGCACACCATACCACACGGTGTAGACCACACCACACCACACTGTGGATACACACCATATACAGACACAAGTGAGTGAGTGTGTGAGAGAGAGCCAGTACGCTGGCAAATCAGATAATATTGAGATGCTGACAAAGTTCTAAATATTCCATTATCCTAATTGATTTCTGTGATGATTCTTCCCCAACAAACACACAACCTAACTACAACGTTTAATTTGTTACGTCGTTACCACCTTACAAATGCTACTAACGTTGCAAAAACGTAAACAAATGTTGTGCTTACGTTGTGTTCTCGCCGGGAATTCACACCTCACAAAGTACAGGTATCCAGACCGGATATGAACAATCAACCTGCACCATAACACCGTTTACGTAATAACAACATGTACCATTTGGCTGGAACCAACTGTCCCACATAGCCATTGACTCGTACGAACTATTCGACATAGCCAATGACTCGTACGAACTATTCGACATAGCCAATGACTCGTACGAACTGTTCGACATAACCATTGACTCGTACGAACTGTTCGACATAACCATTGACTCGTACAAACTGTTCAACATAACAATTGACTGGTACGAACAGGTCGATATAACCATCCAATTAGAAACCACTTTGCTATCAACATCGTACCATATATTTATGTTATTCTCGTACCGCCACATACCGACATAGTATGCAACCGTGTTGAAGACATATTGTAAGAGGGACCCGTATGTGACATCGGCGGGGACCGCCATGCGACCTCCCAGGGCCTCGCAAGCTGCCTGACCTTCGTTCCAAGTAGACACATATGATGTCATTGTCATTATGACATTGTTGACGTCAGCCACGTAGTAGGTGTGAAGGCTGACGCTTGCTGACTGCAATGTGACAGGACTAGTTAGGTAACTTAACAGGTGACACTCCAGGCTAACGCTGTCCCATGTGAAGGCCCAACACCCAACCTTCTGGCCGCATCTACCTGCACATCTGTAAAGGGTTAGCTAGAGTTAATTACCTTACACATCTGGATAGTCGAATAGTTAATGACTTTTGGAATTACGAGTTTTAATGTGGTTAATGACGAGTTTCCTTAAACACGAGTGAACGCGAACACAAAATTGTAAATTTATCACATTAAGGTCCGGTGAAATTTATGTCATAAATTAATAAATATTGAGGCAGTACAATGGAGTGGAACCTGCGCTGCTTGAACGGTTCTGCATGTGCCTGGGGAGTCCAGGAACGCGGGTTCGCTCCCATTGTATTGCCCGAATACTCATTGATTCATCAGGCTCTTCTGATTTCATTGTGCATTGTCATAAAAGTTTCATAATCCTTACTGAATAATGAAGTTTGGGCCAACATAGGAGTAAATCCCATTAATCATCTGTCCACCCTTGAAGAGGAGCCTGAAGGTATGGTTGATTCTGGTAGACAAAGATGCTGAGAGCAGCATCCCCGTAGCTATCAAAAGTAGCATCACACAGCGAGTCTCATTCAGCAACTTCATCTCTGAAGTTCGTCACTGGTCACACCTGATGGACACACAACTCAGAATACCTACAGAGAATCGTCAAAGATGGCCTCAGAGAAATATTAGGGTATTTCTTGCTATTTCTGAAATGACCATCACATAGAGTGCATTTCTTGATGATATCTAACTTAAAAAAATATTTATATTAAAGTATAAAATATATACAAAACTATATATATATATATATATATATATATATATATATATATATATATATATATATATATATATATATATATATATATATATATATATATATATATATATATATATATATATATATATACATATATATATATATATATATATATATATATATATCAGATAAGATTCAAATAGATATTTATGGAATAAGTGAAGAATATGCGCCATTATTGGTTTAAAACAACGAGCACTGGCTTGCATTAATAAGAAATAACTGACAAACATATGCCGTTATTACTCTGAGATGATGAAGACTGGCTTGCATCAGTATGTAAATTATTTATTATATTTAATATTTTACTTTATTTTGTTTTCAGCATTGTATTCGTGTATACAATGTAAATGTATAGCACTGTTAACTATGTATATACATTTCAGATTAGTTTTAAACTATATATAGGATAAAATTATACTAGCTGGTTGGTCAGTAAGTTATTGTCACAGCCTAAATAATTTTCGTCCTGATAAGTTATTCTATTACCAGAACAAATAAAATGCTTACATGTAAAAATTTAATATTTATTAGCAACCCGTTAACAAGTAAAAGATCTCTATTGACATATTTTGTCATTTACAAATGAATAAGAGTTTTGTAAGCTAACTCATCCCGACGAACAATATTGAGCTGCACAGTCAGCAAACATCGTCCGGAGAGCAATAGCTTTTTGTAGAGGGGCTTACCTCAGGACGCTGGATCTATCAGAACATTGGATCTATCATGCAGACGAGGACCCAAACAGTGATCTTGACCACTATACCTTTACTAATAGAGTGAAGGAGCAGCAGCCGAGCGGTCTGTACTGGAGGGCTGGTTGGCCGCGTCTGAGGAAGAGTCTCGCTGCTCACACTTTAGCACCTCCTCGACCCTCTTGCTAAACAATTACTTACACACACCTTCATTATCAACACTTCTCACCTCTACCCCATTCATTATTCACGACTAAATGCTTATATTCAGTGAATAAATTTCGTCATTCACATCCAAAACAAATCACTAAAATACTATATACTTATGCTAAAAGTATTTTGAACACCTTAATTTTTTTTTTTGGGGGGGGCAATCAAATTCAGAAACTTTTTATATATCACAAAGAGATATGACGAATTCATCAATAACAAGAACATCAGTATATATAAAACACGATGTCTGTCTGTTAGATGCTGGAGGTCAGAGGCTTGGGGCTAGCCTCACAAAACTTTGCAGGGATGACTGTTCGTTGTTTATACAGTGCTAATATATTTAAACAATGCTAACAAGGAGTGGAGGTTCTTGTATTACAGTCGGATTCATTCTCGAGCAACAATCGGTAATTCCTGGTTCGAATCCCGAGCAGGACAAATAGTTTTTTTCCTGTCACCTAGGTTCACCTAGCAGCAAATTGGTACCCAGGAGTGAGTTTGTTGTGGGGGTTGCATCCTGGGGGGATGGAATGTTCGGGGTGACCTTGAAATAAATCTAACATCTATCTATACACTGGCTGCCTGTCCCCCAACACATTCAATTATTATTATATACACTATGTGTCCTACATAGCCAAGGCTAGAGAGCTGCTGTAGTAGACACCGAGTTATAGACGAGAGCAGTGTCATCTGCTGAAGAATAACTGTACTCTCTCTCCTTCTAATTTAGCTACAATATATGGCACAAATTACACTTTTTATCACTGTATATTATCTACATAATACATGAGTATAAATAAACATCGGAGCTGTCTTGCAGTGTAATATAGTGTATAATTATGGAATATATATAGTATATTTTGGTAGCAGTCTTTTCTTTAAACGCATTTCATTGAAAACGACAAAAAGTTTTAAATTTATGATTTTGGCACGAATCTTTTCGATATTCCTTATGTTTTGCTTGAATGAAGCAGGAAGATTAAAAATTAACTCTCCAAAGTTCATTTTTACTTATTATTTGGGTCTGACGCCTAGTGATGCGTTTCGTAAGGTCTCACCTCACATTCTCAAAGCCAAATTCTTTTGTGTAGCACCTGATTATATTCTCTAATGATGAGGGGGTGGGTGACATGGATGAATGATATACATGGGGCATTAATGTGGTCCTATATAATGGGATATTAATGGGGTAGTAAATTAAGAGTGTGACATGTTGGCAGTTTATGTTCTACTGGTTGCCAGAAGAACATAGTTATATATAGAACATAGTTATATAGATCATAGAAGAACATGGTTCAAGACGCTGTTTGTGAAAGTGCAAGTGGTAAGGGGGGTTAGGCACTCCACTTAAGCCCCATTGCAGATTCCAAAGGCCTGGCGTACGACTGTGGTGGTGGTGTTGGAAGCCGATAATAAAATAATAATATTTATTATTATCATTAGTTCCCCCTCATTATGGTCACGACCACTAGTGTAGACTATGGGGGGGGGGTACCTGGGACATTGTCTTAGTTTCCCCTAATGTCGGCAAGACCACTAGTATAGACTATGGGGACCCTGGAAGCACTGAGATAGTAGAGACCTTCCAGGCTACAAGGGTCTTAGTAGCACACTTCGATGAGGAGAGTAAAAAAAGACACACACTGGGTCGTGTTGAGTACATTTATTCCAGACATCCTATAGCACTACAGTTCATCGTGTAGTAATACTCCCTGTGCAACAGAACTCATTGATTCCAAAGTGGCATAGATAAAAGCGTTATCTCTCATATGTCTTGCTTCATTGAACAAGTAACATTAGGTTAGTAACTAATACTACAACGCTCTGTGGGGTGTTGTAAGTTTGTATATTATTGGTACGGGACGAGTCGCCCCCACATGCAAACAAACACTTACTTGTCCTTATCCATGTGCATACCATACCACACTGTGGATACACACCATATACACACACATGTGTGTATGTGTGTGTTTGAGAGAGAGCCATTATCTCAATATTGTAATAACTCTTGCAAATCAGATAATATAGCGATACTGACAAGGTTTTAAATATTCCATTATCCTAATTTATTTCTGAGATGATTCTTCCCCAACAAACACACAACCTAACCACAACGTTTTATTTGTTACGTCGTTACCATCTTACAAATGCTACTAACGTTGCAAAAACGTAAAATAAATTGGGCTTACGTTCTGTTCTCGCCGGGAAATCACACCTCACAGAGCACGGGAATCCTCAACAGATATGAACAACCAATCTGCATCATATCACCGTAATCGTAGTAACAACATGTACCAATTGACAGGTACCAACTGTACGCCGTAACCTTCCATTTAGTGACCACCTTGCTATCAACATCGTACCAGATATCTGTGTTATTCACGTACCGCCACATACCGACATAGTATGTTACCCTTTTGAAGACATATTGTAAGAGGAACCCGTATGTGACATCGGCGGGGACCGCCATGCGACCTCCCAGGGCCTCGCAAGCTGCCGGACCTTCGTTCCAAGTAAGCACATTTGACGTCATTGTCATTTTGAGGTTGTTGACGCCAGCCACGTAGTAGGTGTGAAGGCTGACACTTGCTGACTGCAGTGCGACAGGACTAGTTAGGTAATTCAACAGGTGACACTCCAGGCTAACGTTGTCCCATGTGAAGGCCCAACACCCAACCTTCTGGCCGCATCTATTAGCACAACTGTGGATGGTTGGGTAGAATTAATTACCTTACACATGGGGATGGTCGAGTAGTTAATGACCTGTTGAATTACGAGTTTTAGTGTTGTTAATGACGAGTTTCCTTGAACACGAGTGAACGCGAATACAAAACTGTAAATTTATCACAATAAGGTCCTGTGAAATTTATGTCATAAATTAGTAAATATTGAGGCAGTACAATGGAGTGGAACCTGCTCTGATTGAACGGTTCTGCATGGGCTAGGGGAGTCCAGGGATGCTGATTCGATCCCATTGTATAGTCTTAATATTTATTCATTTAATTGTGCATTCTCATAAAAGTCTCACAATCCTTACTGAATCATGAAGTTTTGACCAACATAGGTGTAAGGCGCAATAATCATCTGTCCACTCTTGAAGAGAAGCCTGAAGGTATGGTAGACTCCGGTAGACAAAGATGCTGAGAGCAGCATCCCCGTAGCTATCAAGGGCAGCATCCTCATCTCTGAAGTTCGTCACTGGTCACACCTGATGGACACACAACTCAGAATACCTACAGGAACCGTCAGAGATGGCCTCAGAGAAATATTAGGGTATTCCTTACTATTTCTGAAATAACCAATATATATATATATGTCGTACCTAGTAGCCAGAACTCACTTCTCAGCCTACTATTCAAGGCCCGATTTGCCTAATAAGCCAAGTTTTCCTGAATTAATATATTTACTATAATTTTTTTCTTATGAAATGATAAAGCAACCCTTTTCTCTATGTATGAGGTCAATTTTTTTTTATTGGAGTTAAAATTAACGTAGATATATGACCGATCCTAACCAACCCTACCTAACCTAACCTAACCTATATTTATAGGTAAGGTTAGGTTAGGTAGCCAAAAAAAGCTAGGTTAGGTTAGGTTAGGTAGGTTAGGTAGACGAAAAAACATTAATTCATGAAAACTTGGCTTATTAGGCAAATCGGGCCTTGAACAGTAGGCTGAGAAGTGCGTTCTGGCTATTAGGTACGACATATATATATATATATATATATATATATATATATATATATATATATATATATATATATATATATATATATATATATATATATATATATATATATATATATATATATATATATATATATATATATGTCGTACCTAGTAGCCAGAACTCACTTCTCAGCCTACTATGCAAGGCCCGATTTGCCTAATAAGCCAA